ATTTTTGAGTTACATATTCACACTTATGGTAAACAATTTAAAAGTAAACAGTAACTGTATTCCTTTTGCACTAAGCTATGTGGGCCTATGTACCCTTCTCCCCTGCTGACATTTTTCAAAGTGATGTGCTTATTCTTATGTCACCAGCGGTACATGAAAAGCTCAGGTGTATCATGTTATTTTACCATGCCTTGTTTTTGTCAATGTTTTAAATTTTAGCCATTTGAGTAGGTGTATAATCATGTTCCATTGTTTTAATTTGCATTTTTCTGGTTCTCAGTAATGTTTTGCATCATTTTAACATTTATTGCTTTTAAGTTTTATCTTTGGGGAAGTATTCAAGTCTTGCTTATTTTTATTGTCTTTTTAAAATCCATTTGTAATTATTAATTATATGATCTGTATATAAGTTTTTTGCTGTTTTTACATATATTGCAAATACCCTCTCCTCCAATAATTTTTGTTGTTGTTGAACACAAGTTCAATGTCTTAATTTAGTCAAATGAATAGACTTTATAATTACTGCTTTTTGTGTCCTATGGAATCCTTTAAAAAAAACAAGATCATGAAGATATTCTGTTACAACACTTTCTAAAAACTTCATGAAACAAGTTTGGTGTTGTTGCCTTCTTTTCAATTCTTTTAAGAGTATTTGAAAGAGTACTACTTTTTAAACGTTTAGTGGTATATTTGGTGAAGAACTTTGAGGTTGGATTTTTAAAGGAATAATTGATTAGGATTCATTTTTTAAAAGAGTTATGTAGGTATTTAGACTTCATAATTCTTTATGGGTCCGTTTTGATTGTTATACTTTTTGACACATGTTCTTGGAAACATTTCCACATTTGTTTGCATCAAGTTGCTTATATCCTATTAATGTCCAAAGGGTCCTAATTTTGGTAATTTTTTCCTAATTTTAGTTATTGATTAATTCCTACAGAATTGAATCTTTAAATTTTAAATTTATATATTCTTTTGACTAGAAATTTTTTTCCTGTGCTACATTGTCTTCTTCAATGTTTTTATTCCAGTTTGGAGTTCTTATTTATTTCTTTTGTTTTAGCACAGAGCCATCTATTCTAGCTTGCTTTCTCGGTCTGACTCCTCCAAGACCCACTGCTTCCTTAGTTGGCTTGTGTTCCTCTTTTACTTGCTTGTATTAGCTGGACATGGTTGATTTCTCAGCATCCAGGCAGAACAGACTATGAGAGATTTCCTAGATAGTGAGATATTGACAGGCTTTGGTAACCAGCCACTCCGCTTTAAATTTTACTATTTTAGATACCTCATAAGGGAAATCATACAGGATTTATATTGTGACTGGCTTATTTTACTTAGCATAATGTGTAACAGAATTTCCTCCTTTTTGAGGCTGAACAATCCATTGCATATATATCACATTTCATTTACCATTTATCCATCAGGCATTTGGGTTGCTTCCATCTTTGGGCTGTTGTGAATAATTCAGTCACCATAGGTGTATAGATATTTCTTCAAGACTCTGCTTTCAATTCTTTTGGATATAGACTCAGAAATAGAGTTCCTGGATCACATAGCAGCTCTAGCTGTAATCCTTTGAGACACCTTTATGTTGTTTTTCACAGTGGTCCCACTGTTTTATAGTCCCACCAACAGACTGCAAGGACTAATTTTCCCACATCTTCACCAGCACTCATTTCTGGGTTCCATTTTTTTTAAGTAGCCATCCTAATGGGAGTGAAGTGATATCTGATTATAGTTTTGATTTGCATTTCTCTGATTGGTGATGTTAAGCATCTTTGCATATGCTTATTAGCCATTTCTATATTATCTGGTGAAATGTCTATTCAAGTCATTTGCCCATTTTTAATACGGTTATTTTGTTTTTGTTGTAGATTTATTTTTTAACTATGTTCTGGGTATTAACTCTTTATGTATAATTGCAAATATTTTCTCTCATTCAGTAACTCTCCTTTTCACTCTGTCCTTTGTACAGACTTTTAAAATTTTGATGTAGTCCCATTTTTTCTTTTTTTCTTTTGTTGCTTGTGCTTTTGTGTCATAGCCAAGAAATCATTGCCAAATCCAATGGCTTGAAGCTTTCCTCTGTTTCTTTTAGGAGTTTGAGTTTTGGGTCTTACTTTTAGGTCTTTTTATCCACTTTGAGTTGATTTTTATGAATGATTTAAAATAAGAGTCCAATTTCATTCTTTTGTATGTGGATAGCCAGTTTTTCCAACACCATTTGTTGAAGAGACTGTTCTTCCCACATTGAATTGTCTTGGCACCAGTGGTGAACATCATTTAACCATACATACGAGGGTTCACTTCTGAACTCTGTATTCTATTCCATTGGCTTATATGTTGTAAAACATTCTTACACAAGTCTTTTTATGAAAACCTTGTGTGTTTTCCTTCTCTTAGGTGTATATGTAAGAGTAGAATTACAGGGTCACGCAAAAGATACACATCTGACTTCACTTAGAAATTGCCGGGAAGCTTTGCAGTGTGGTTGTACCAATACTTGGTCTTATAGTTCTTTTAAATTTTAGCCTTTTGGATATGTACAGTCATTTTGTCTCTCAGTTGAATTGTTATTGAGCACTTTAAGTTACCTGAAACTTATCCTGAAATATGTGTTCACTTATTATTTTATAGTATAAGCTTTATGAGGTGCTATTTTGTGCCTCAATTTCTAAATGTTTCCTAAGATACAGAAGGTACTCAATAAATGTTTATTCTGAATGAATGAAATAGATGAGTCTGAATAAATTAAAGCATGAATATTTACTTTTTTTCCTGAAATTGCTGAGAGTTGTTCATAAGCATAGCTGGGATCTTTTCCAGGATCTAATAGTTGGTCATGGATATTTTAGTGGCTGAATCACTCCAGGAGGAAAAAATGGTAGAACCAAGTATTACAACTATACACTGTTTGCTGAAAGCCCAGAATCTCCCACTAAGAAAAAATTTAAAACCCAAGAGCACAGTAATATTAAACAGCAGAATATCCTGGATGTATGGATCAGTTGGTTGAAGGCCCATATGCCAAAAAGTCGTGGGTTCAATTTCTGGGCAAGGCACATACCTCAGTTGTGGGTTCCATCCCCGAATAGGGCACATACCCAAGAACACTGATGATTCTCTCTCTCCCCCTCTCACCCACCCCCCCTCACACACACATACACACCCTTCCTCTCTCTAAAATCGGTGAATATATCTTGGTTGAGGATTAAAATAATAAGATAAAAGGCAGTATGGTGTTAGGAACTAAAAAAATGTATCTGTGGAAACAAAGTTTAAGAACTTTAATTTTTTTGTACATCAATTGGATTTTTGCTTTAAAATGAAATAAATTATTTATGTAAAAAAGTCTTATATTTATGTCTAATTCTTATAGTACAACTAAATATTAATTGCTTTGGTATTCATTATTTGGCTTATTAAGTATCCACGACATTTTATATCTTATCTGAATATTTTGGTTCATTTTTCTGTTCAAAATATTCAGTTGCCCCAAAAATCAGTTTACTTTTTTTTCCATAAAATAAGACACATTTTTCATTTTCACCAATAACTTTATTGATTTGGATATTTTGAGTATATTGGTTATCTACTGCTATTGGCTTCTAGTGGGTGGAGGCCAGGAGTGCTGATAAACATCTTCCAATGCTTAAGACAGCCCCTCAGCAAAGAATTGTTTGGACAGAATAACAATAGTACCAAGAAACTTCACAGACCACTTTTGACATAGTGGTCAGTCAAAGCACCTTCTCCATATATTATTACATAAATCTTATTTTGCACTTTGGTTGTGTTTTACCTTTCTTGAAATAATAAAGCATAATACATGGAAATACTGCTTTTTAAATCTTAAATATTAAAATGGCTACACAAAAATTCACCAATTCTGATTTTTTAATACATGCACACTGATATGACATTGTTACAATACAGTCTAACAAAATTGTTTTGAATGAAGTTAAAGACAACTAAGCACTACTAGAGCCATTGTACAGAAAAACCAAATGAACTTTTGGGCCATCTTAATACTTTCACCAAACAGTTGTTAGTAAACTAGAGAAAAATAAGAAAGGAGAGGAGAGGAGAGGAACAAACTGAAGAAGGAAAATAGAACAATCTCTCATTCTACCCATGAATTTTTCCATTAGCATAGATATGCAAGAATTTAATCATATGTGGAATCTAATGAACAAACTGAACTAACAAGAAAAATGGAGACAACTCATAGATTGCAGGATGACAGCTAAGATGGGGAGGCATGGGGTGGAGGGACTGAGCAAAAAGGAGAAAACTCATGGACATGGATAACAGTGTAGTGATTGTGGGATGGGTGGAGAAGGGTGTAAAGGGACTAAACGGTAATGGAAAAAATACTGTAACAAACAAAATTTAAAATCATTTATGGAAATTGCATAGGACTTAAAAGTGGTTGCTGTAATCTCCAATATTCAATAACTTTAATATATTTATATAAGTGAACATATGAAATAGTCCAGGTATTTTATATAATTCAGTATTACAAATTTATGTCAACATTTCATTTTCTAAGTTTGAAAAGCTACCTGTAGTTGTACAGGTTGATTTTCTGTTTTTGGTGCTCTTGACATATTGTATAACACAAGTATGTTTTCTTCTATCATTTTATCCTACAAAGTGTGATTACTCTGTAGTGACACTAAATGGCATTGGTAAATCGAGGGCTCAGTTTATCTAATGAGAAAAACATAGGAACTCTTGATTTTATTTTCTATTCAGTGGTGAATGTTTTTGAATAGTTATAGCTGTTTACGTATACTTAGCTACATTTTGTTAGTGTAATCTGTAAAAATAGGAACATTGTATTTAATATGAATAGTATTGCTCATAATGCTGTATAACATAATTTAAAATAATTTTTGTCCTTTTATTGTGCCATATTAAATATTCTTGACAATGCTATTTTGTGTCCTTTTTAGCCAAATAATTTAATAATCACACACTATGTTCTTTTTCTGCAGAGAGTCAAATAAAGAAAACCACGTTACAATTTCACAATGGCAGCAACATGAATGAAGATCTTATTATAAAAAAGGAAATAGTTTTAGGACACCCCTCAAAAAATATATCACTGGAAAATGAAGGAAGTCGATTACATTCCAGGAAAAAACGTTTTTTATCATATCCGAGATACGTGGAAGTTATGGTGACCGCTGATGCTAAAATGGTTCATCACCATGGACAGAACCTGCAGCACTATGTGCTAACTCTGATATCCATTGTAAGTACACTGAAGTCCTTTCTATCTCCTAAAATGTTTGGCATAATATTTTTCTCACATTTAATTTTTAAAAAGTTTTCCCAAATTCTAGATGTAAACAAATTATATCTAGGTTTAAGGCATAAAATCACTAAGTAAACTTAGTTTAGTTAGATGCATAGCAAGTATCCTGTTCTGTTATTTGGATAACTTTTTAAAACATTTAAAAAATCTCTGAAGCCACTTAGGAAAGATGCTTGATTTTCTTCATGGTGTGAATGGCTTCTGCCCCCTAGTGACAGGGAAGATCCTAGTAGCATTGATCTTTTGCCCTTTGAGTTCTAAAAATTTCACCCTATATTTGTGTGGAGAGGAGAGTACATTATTTTTTACTACTGATGCATTGGTGAAATCAGAAATCGGGGTGCACGATATTTGAAGTTATAAATATACTCAGGGGGCTAAAACTTAGGCTATTGCTAATAGAACTGCTTTAACAAATTTGGGTTGTAAGGTCATGAGTGCCTTCTCTGATGGTAATCTCTCTGTCGTGCTGTGGTGGTGCTGGTGTCCACAGAACAGGATTCTAGTGCCAGGAAGGAGCACCCCACCTGGGTTAGTGGCATCACTTTATGTCATATATACACACATATGTATATATACATACATACGCACATACATCCATCTACTGTTTGGTATAGTTTGAGATCTAGGGCCTGCTGATTTGGAGCAGTTACTAAAAGCACCCCCCCCTTTCATGCTCATAAGTATCCTGGTTTAGTTGATGAATTCTATGGTCACATATTTATACATATTTATACATGGTATTGGAACATATTTCATGGCTGAATATGCCAATAAAATACCTTTACTCACATACAGGAAATTCAGGCCCACTTGGTTGAAAAGATTTGTCCAGAACACATAGATAAGCCATTTGTAAATTTCCCTTAGAAATCCCCAATTAAATTCTTTGTGACTTCAAGATCCTAAGACCCAGTTATTTTTCTTACATACAATGTTTTATCTTAAATTCTTATCAGTGCTAGGTATACATGGTCTGTGTTGCCTAAACACAGTATCTGGTACAAAGTGGGCACTCAATAAATAGTTCTTGAAAGAAAAAAAATGAACAACTAGGCAATTAAAGTAATACTAGGTAATTAAAGTAATTCCCTAGTAGACAAAAAGAGATAATCCAAAACTTTTCCTGAGATTTGTATGATATAGACATCTACTTTTATTGTTTAATTGAATTTTTAAAACGACAGCAGAGCTATACGTAGACATTTATACTGATGACACTTTATGTTTACTTCTGAATTTGAAGTACACATCGAGCTATGTAATTATCTAGATGTACAGTTATCTAGATGTGGGTGTGGCCTGCTCATTCTGAAAAGGGGCTTCTAATGAGAGCACTGACCTGGAGATGAATTGATAGGCGGGAAATGGTATCAATTATACAGAACACTGTGGGATAAACTGAAATTTTAAATGTTTAGAGGAAACGATACTCTTTAAGAAAATGGGGGGAGGTAGTGATACTGAAGAAAATATTAGATTTTGTAAGCATAACAGGTTTTGAAGCTGATTAAATGACATATGACTCTGGTATCCGTGCTCTAGACATGCTAGCTAGATGGACTCAGGGAACACAAGGGTCATTGGGGAATAGCTACATGCAGTGACAGTGGTAATGCCATCTTCCATAAAGTTGTATTATCTATATTTTACATTAAACATCAGTTAATATCTTTAGAACATACTGTGGCATGTACCTTGAGATAACTGAAGTTGTCCATGGGAGTTTTAAAGCCAGAGTTTATCAAGGGCAAAAGCAGACCTTGTGGCTTCATGGACAGTGTTAAATCTGCTTCTGCAATTGCCGGAAGCCACAGACCAATGCACACACACATTCTGTAGAGTTTCAGTTTCATTAGGAGGGGAGTCAATGAAGACGGAATGTTTGTAGATGCAGTCAGCTGATTTCTGTTAAGCTTGCATTCACTGCGAGATAGCTTCTGCAGCAGGGTTGAGGAAGAGGAGAACGTTCCAAATACAGATGGGGTAGCCAGAATAATTTAGGAGGCTAAGTTTCCCTTTTGAAGGTAGTTTGGGGTTTGTATAAGCTTTTTTCCCTCCTCTGAGGTCCAATTTCAGATGACTTCTGAATTACCTACATTTAGTGTGTTATTTTTTCCTCTTTCATTGAGATACTGTTCAGAAAAGGATATAAAAAAGCAGGCTTTAGGGTTTTGTACATAGATGATTATTTTATTAGTGAAAAACTGATCACAGCTAATATTTGTAGATACAAACAAGTGAAAGGTGAAAATAAAGTTGGAGAAAAAGTGACATGTTTTTCCTGGGACTCTCTTAGTTTTAGTGTTAAGTCTTACGTCCCTGAAAAGCCATCAGTCCTGGTCTAACTGGCACAGCTGGTCACACAGGACAGAAAGATTGCAAACTGTAGTCCGGCTCCTTTCACCTCCACTTGTGCAGCCTTGTCCAAATGGCTGTAAAGAGTAAGAGGAACGCTGTCTCCATGTAAGCATGCCCAGATGTTTGCAGTTGAGGAAGGGGCCGATTCAGGTTTTCCATGTTCTGTCCTCATTTATAAGAAGGCATTAACTACATTTATTCAAACACACTCAGGATATTGATAATGTTCTCAGGCATAGTAATTTAGGGGGGGAAAAACCAAGAAAATGTTATTTAGACTTGGAATATGAGTGAGAGCCATTTATGAGAAAGTTCAAAGTGATGAAAAGGAGTTTTTGTGTGTTGAACTCCACATATAAGGAGGGAATTGCTGAGTACTTTCAGCATTGAACTATAGGATTATAATTTAGAGAGGTTATCAATCCTTACCCACCCTGCATGTAGTAAACAATTGTGCTATCTTAAACTTTTTTCTTTGCTTTCAGCAGTTTAACAAATGTCTGAGTGCATTGATAGAGAAATGATAGAGAAATAATTCACTTTTTAGTGTTATACTCATGTTGTAAAAATAGCTTAGTGATCTCTAGACAGAGGGTTTTAGAATTAACATCAAAATTAGCTGGGAAGAATGCAATTGTGGTGTAGAGTATATCTAATGAAGTAAGTGTGTTAAATGAGCAGTGGTGTTCAATTACTTGCTGTTCCAAAACTTCTATCCTTAGAGAATTTAGGTGACATTATCACATTAAAATGGCACTTATGTATGCATTATCAAACACCAAAGTATGTATAAAGTAAGGCAATTACTTTCTTCAACAAATTCATGTTGATAATCAATGACTTAACTGTTTAACAAACCTTGAAATATTTGTCAGAGACCTCCACGCTCAAAGGTGCTTACAAGGGTTTGACTTCACTGTTCACCGTGTTACAGAGTTAATCATGTAAACTTGAGTATCCTGTGATACTCGGGGATCAGGCCTGTTTATTAAACACAGTTACTATTATCTAATGGCACTAATCAACTAAACACCCTCACTTATGTTACATTTCATTACGTTGACTTAACATTATTGCTTTTGGTTGTGTTGCTTTTACTGATGTTCTCCACAGTGGGGAAATTTTCAACCTCACCAAAATAAAAACCAATGACATACTTTCACACTTCATGACCATTTACGTTACCTTTTCCTTTCTTCAACTCAGTGTACTGCTTATTCTTTATTCTTTGCATCCATTGACATTGTACATATGGAGAATGTCATCATTTTCTAATTTAACAAATGGTCTTTCTGACAAGAGTAGTGATCTTGGTAAGCAAAATTTATTTACTTATGAAATCAGTTTCTAATAGATGACTTTGAAGGTTATAAGATAAATTACTCCTGGGGATATAAGTAAGGTACAGCAGGGTGACTATAGTTAACAACACTGTGGTGTACATTTGAAAGTTGTTAAGGGAATAGATCTGAAAGTTCTCATAAGAAAAAAAAAACTGTGTGATGATAGATTTTATCTAAACTTATTTTGCAATATACATACATCTCATTATGTTGAGATATATATCACAACCTAAACTAATATATCTTATGTCAGTTCTCTTAATTTAAAAAAATGGCTAAAAACAAAAAATGAAAGCAGCTTCTAAATGTTATATATGAACATTTGTTGAAACTATATAGAAATTATTTCAAAATGATTTGTCAGTATAGTGATAATTTTTCATGCTATGTATAAAGTATATTATACCTAGAATTTTCCTGAAAATATTTAAACGATATAATTCATATCATTTCTATTCCTTTTACTAAATCTCTATGAACCAATGCTTACTATTTGAAACCTGAGTAGAAATGAAATGAACACTATATACTGGGGAAACACATACTTAAAGATTAAAAGATTAAATACATTTTAATAAGGTCAATAAAAATTCTAATACATAACACTCCCAACTGCAGTAATTATAGTAATAAAACAATATTACATACCTTTATAGCCTTGAGATGGTTCATCTGATTCACAATTAAGCTTAGTTATTCAGAAATAGCATCTTTAAGCATTCAAATATAATAAAATACATATATTGAGTATAAACATATAGGATAAAGGGCAATATGTAAAACAGTAGGAGCATACAATTAAATGAAGATATGACTTTTTAAAAGAAACACCATTCTAATATAAAGACAAAATATCAGGTTCTGAGGGGTTTTGGTGGGGTGCATATATAAAAAATTATTCATATCGAACCATGTGCATCTTTTACCCTGAGAAAAGCAAGTTTAGGGGTAGAGATCATGCCATGTTCATCTCTGTATCTGTGAGCACCACACACAGTGTTTGACAGTGGGTATTTAATACATATTTCAGCAAATAATGAAACTGCTGCCCTCAGATCTTTTGCTTTGCAGTTGGGTGTACTCTGCTAACTAATTTGAAACACATGAACCGAAACTAGCATTGTATATAACATAAGCCCTTTATTCTGAAAAAGTTTTATAAGTAGTATTAACAATAACTAGCATTGACGCCTATGACCCAGCCCTAATGTAAGTGGCTTTTGTGCACCATTTCACGTAACCCTCATGGCAGCCTGATGGGTAGGTATCATCCAACAGTGGTTGTTGGAACTTGAACCTGAGTCTGTTTAACTTAAGGGCCATGCTTTATAACATTATCTGTATTGCATAATAAATGATATTGAATTATTTTTCCTTAGACTTGAAGGACATTTTGCTGTAGTGACATATTTTAAAATATGCTATCAGGGCACAGGGAATATGTTTCCAATTTCCAGTCTGGTCACTTTTCAGTAAAGGTGCAGCATCTGTTTCCATCTGGAACTGTAAATATTTTTTGGTTGTACGTTTTATAGCTTACATTATAACATCCAGGTTGTCATTGGTGGTCAACACTTTGGGGGCAATGAGTAGAGAAAGAAGCCATTTGGATACTCAGAGTGCTTTGGCTTTCTCCTCTGGTGTGCTGTGAATGTGAGATGACCTGGGACTAAGGGGTCTTCATGACCATCTTATCTTTAGGGGGGAAAGCCTTTGTGCATACCTTTGAGAGGCACTGTTTATCTTGTAATTTGACTTTGAAAAGCATCTACTTCTAAACTCACAGAATCAAATATGGGTATACTTTGTTTTCTGCAGTAGATATATTTTTAAAAGTTGCATGGAAAATGAACATTTATCAATTCAGCTATAGATTTCCACAGCTCCCATTTTAAAGGGAGCAATACTGCAGTGCTAACAGACCTGTTTGAAATCACCAATCATTTAATTGGCCCCACCTTAACCTCCTCTCAAACCCACTGGGTGACCACCACTCTTGCCAAAAAAATGCCACCCCCAAGGCCAAAGGCATCATTCCAGGGAGAGATGATAAACCTGTGTTTGTGGCTGCACGGCTAAACCAATAGGGAAGGCACAGGACTGTGTTAGTTAACCCATGCTGACCCTGCAGAGGTGCGGTGGCCCTGGTCCTGGTAGTACTCTGTGTGGTGCTGGAAGCAGCAGAAGCAGGTATGTTATTCATCGGACTAGATGCTGAATACTTATTAAAATAACTGAAAAAAAGTAGCACTTCATGAAGTAATTGCTGTCTTGGTTCGGGCATGGGTCCAGGATAAGGTGACCCAGGTTTCTGAAGCACAGGTAGTCTAGGTCCTTAGAGTTAAGTCACTAAAGGAGTACAAGTCACAGGCATTGGCCATGGAAGACACTCCTACTGCAGTTGTAACACCCGTGATAGCTGCAAGGAGAGGCTATGCATCAGTGAGGTGGAGAGCACGTTAACTATGAGTCACAAATGGAGCCCTTGCTGAGGGCCTCATAGACTGCATTCTCCAATTTTGGAGACTTAGGAACCAAGTTGTGACCCATAACCTCTTCTGTGGCTTTATACGATTCTGGATGAATCCATCTCCACAGGTTCCAGTAGTGCTAAACATGAAAAATTATAAGCATAATTATAATTGGAAATATGCAACCATGGCAGAAGAGATCAGGTAAAACTCTACCAGAAAAGGATAGATGGAAGTATGTATTTATCATGTAGTATTGTGGGCACATAAATTATGGATTGTGACACAGAATGAAGCGAATTTCTTGCTGAATCATCCAGGAAAGTATTTTCCAAGCTCTGATGCATATTCAAATCGTATTAAAATATGGAGTTTTGACTGAATAGTCCAGAGTGAGGCCTGAGATTTTGCCTCGTTCCGTGTGATATGGATGCTGCTGGTTATGGACAAACTGCAGTAGCAAAGGTTAGGATACTGGTTCTCAAATTTGGCTTCACATTGGAATCATTAGAAAAAAATTTCTGAGGAATTTTAAAAGATATTGATGACTGAGTCTCTCAACCCTCAAGATTCTAACTTAATTGGTAAAGGATGTGGCCCGAGCTTCAGGATTTGTGAAAAGCTCCCTCGGAGACTCCAATCTGCAGCTAAGTTGGAGAATTGATGCTCTTGGACTGGTTTCAATTTACTTTTGAAAAGAAATATTCATTGTAGACATCTAACCCTACATTCTTTTACCCTTGCAGGTTGCAGCAATCTACAAGGACTCAAGTATTGGAAATCTTATAAACATAGTAATTGTAAAATTAATTGTAATTCATAATGAACAGGTAAAAAAAGTTCTAAAATTAGTAATCTTAGTTGTAGTAGGCTCCTGGCATGAAAACAAAAATATATATATATATATATATCTACTATGAAACTTACTAGAAATGAGATACTTTCAATAAAAGTTTATGTTTAAAAAACTTGATTTGGAAAGATTTTTCTGTTGTGATAGATATAAAATCACAGCAAGGAAGTCACAAGTGTTAATAAACAATTAAAGAATGTAAGCTTGAAAACATCTAGAAATTCATGTTATAAACCTTCGGTTGAAAGATTTAAAATAAGTTAATGTTTAGAAGGTAGGTTTTTGATTCTAAATACTGGATGGTCATATTGAGAAGTCTACTTGGATTCAGTTTGGAACACAGTGTTGTAAATATTGCTAAAATGTGTGTGGGATGCAATGGAGAGAGAATACCGCTAAGTTTGCCTGTTAAAATGCTACTTGATAAATTGCATGGACCCTAACAAGCTCCAAGGGAAAAAAACACCAGGAATGTTTTTGCATAATACTGAATTGGGCTTTTTTTCTTTTTCTTTTTTGCACAGGAAGGACCAGTCATCAGTTTTAATGCAGCTACCACATTACGCAACTTTTGTTTGTGGCAACAAACCCAGAATGTTCTTGACGATGCTCACCCTTCCCATCATGATACCGCTGTTCTTATCACTAGGTACAGTTTGGGAAACATAACACTTCTAACTGCAGTTTTACTTACACTTCTTCTCCTGTATGATCACTGATTCTTCTTGTTACCTTAATTCTTTATCAATATTAGACTGCAGTGTTCTATGAGAAGTTGTATTACAAAACGTCTTATTAAATGAAAGCGTTTTTCTATCCCTTCAGACTAGTCCACTACTTGATTCCTAGGCAATTAGCAGTGTTAGGTTGTTAAGTAATGGTATGACCTAGACAAAATAATCACCTTATTATATTTGTGGCAGAATAAGAGAATTAGGAAAATATTTTGAATTTAACTTAGGAAGCTGAGAACAGGTTTTGTTAATTTCCTCACTTGGTCTTTCAATCACTTGGAAAGAAGAGTTTAAATTTGATTGTCGGATAAATGTGGTCCTTCTACTTAAAAAATCTATTTTTTTTTTGTTTTGATGCTCAGTACATGTCTTAATTACTAGGCTGCTTTTGCTAGGGTTTTTCTCAAACTTAATTATTTGAAAAACAGCTTCTGCTATTATAAAAGATTATCCACTTTGCAAGCACCACTACACATTATTAATTCATACCTTCATTTCAGCAACATTGATGCTACCAGCAAATTTAGATTCTAGATTTGTTGGGTGTATTTTGTTAGTTGTTTGAGCAAAAGAAATAAATCTATCTCACTTGAGGGTGAAATGTGGAGAAATCTCAGCTCTATAGAATCCTGAAATGAACAAACAAGCAAGCAAGCAAGCAAAATAAAAACAAAGACACTGAAATAGAGAACAGGGGGACAGTGACCAGAGGGGAGAGGGGAGGGAATTTAAGGGAAAAAAGGGGAGGGATTTAGAGGAAGAAGTATAAAGGACACAGGGACAGCAACTAAGGTGGTAGAAATGGGAGGGAGGTGGAGAGCACAGGGCGGGGTGGGCTGGGATGGGAGAAATAGACAGAAAACTGTACTTGAAAAATAATAAAAAAAAGAACCCTGAAATGAAAACTTTTAGTCCATATGTATCTAGAGACATGTGGTCCATGTGCTTTATGCCTTTGTAAAACTAAAGCAGAATTGGCTTAATTTTATGCACAGTATTCTATTATCAATGTCCATGGTTCTGCCCTGGATTGTAGTGAGAAGCCAAGCAACAAAGACCATAGATAGATACAGCTTAAAGATGGGAGGGAGAGTGGGTGATAAGAGGAGACCATAAGGAAAGAGACAAGGGACTGTCAAATTAAATGGCTAGTGACTAAGTGAGGAAGAAGCAAAAACTTAAGCAACTTGGTAACATCTGTGAACATCATTATTTTGCAACAGAGGATAGTCAGTGAGGCTCATAATGGCATTCAGACATTAAGAAAAGAGTAAGTTATATATGCTGTGTAAGTAGAGGCAGATAGGTGGAAAATACACTTAGCTTTTCAGTGAACTTGGTTAAGCTTCATCTATTTACAGCAATCATTTTATACATCACCCATTGCTTACTGATCTGTGCAGCTCTCAGTTTAAACTCATTGAGAGCTTATTAAGAACTGGATTTTAGAAGTCAGTTTGTGGCACTAGTTAAAGCTTCTGATCCCTGTTTTGACTTGTTGCAAAAATAATTTTCTGAAAATGCTTCAAAATAAAATTTTTTTTAAAGGGAAGACATTTGTGGAGCACGAGAGAAATGCGACACATTAGGTAAGTTATTTTGTAAATTAAATATAGCCTACATAATTGTTTACTGAATTATTTAAGATGATGTTTAGATTATTGTACCTTTTAATCACTTTGATAAGCTGTCTTAATGGTTATAGTTGTCACTATTATTTGATTGTGCTTCTATAAAATTTAAAGTATAATAAGAGCTAATATGTGTCAATTACTAAATATCAACTGCTGTGCAAAGCTTGACATATTTTAAAGTGTTTTAATTTATAATACAAAATGGATTCATATAAAATAGTGCTTAATAACCTACATGCAAATTAAAAGCAAAATAATAAAATGAATAGCCACAAATCCGCTACCAGACCAAAAAGATTGAATTTATCCATACTGTGGGGGCCTGTGCTCAGTCCCTTGCTCTTCCACAAGAGGGCGCCAGTTCAGTAAATTTTGTATGTGCCAGCTCTTCTGACTGCCCATAAGATCCTCTCTTTGTTTTGGATAAAAGTTTTATTAAAATTATATCTTAATATAGAGTTCTTTCTATTTATTCTGCTTGGGATATGTTGTGCTTCCTATTATCTATTGATTAGTATCTTCAATGTTAAAAGATTCCCATCCTCATTCATTTTTTTGCTTGTCCTTACATTCTATCTGTTCTCTCATGGCACCCCAATTATATCTGTATTAGGTCTTCTCATTTGTATTCCATGCTTTCATTTTCTTCCTCATGATTCATCCAAGCAGCTCTAACATGCATTTTATTATTTGTGTCTTTGGCTGCATCTAATTTGATATTTCAACCATCCTCTAAATTTTCCATTTCAAGATATCTTTCCATTCAGTAGAATCTGGTTGGTTCTTATTCAAAATCTGTGTTCATTTTGTTTGCATTCTTTTTATATTTGCTCATATTTGTTAATTGCCTTTCATGTTTACTCAAACATTTCATTTGGAGTAATTTTATATCCACCTCTGACAGTTCCTGTATCTTAAATAGTTGAAGGCCAAATATGTGGTTTCTGCTTTCTCTTGTGTTGACTTGTTTGTGTGTTTGGCTATCTTTGATTATGAGCTCATATTTACTTAATATTAATCCATGAGATTAGGAGTGAACTGCTTAAAAAGAATGTACTTATTTCAGAGAGGATTTTCTGTTTTTGTTTGTTGGGTTGTTTTGCTATTATCCAAAGGGGGTTACAGACCAGAGTCCCTGACTTAAGGTGGAAAATCACCATCAGATCCTGTACCTTGCAGTTTTCTCCAGCAAGCTCTTAGCCCTGGATCATATTGCTTTAATTAGTGTTTGCTTCCAGAGTGTCTTCTATCCTTATCATTTATTGCTTACCCTTTAGGGTTTATCTCAAGTGTAAATGTGTGTGGGTATGCATGCATGTTGGATGAAAGGGGGGCACAGAGAGAATGTGTGTGTTCGATTTGGGGACTTGACCATTCTTGTAGAACATGTGAGGTCAGTATTCATTAAAAAGTAATTTTGTTAATCTAATTTCTTTGTGTTAAGAGGACCCTTTAGAAACTACTCTTCTACACATGTGGAAACAGACACCTGCTACTCATACTGCAGCAGACCTCATTCTCTTCCTGCAAACTGTTCTTTGGCTTTGTTAGGTCTGTTTTATCTAACAGGAATCCATGAAACATATTTTTCACATGAACTATGCCCTGTTGTCACATCCATATACTAAAAGTTAGGCATGAATATGTCTGCCACATCTTACTATTGTTTTAATTGATTTAATGATAGACATTCTGGATGGATCATGTGGAAGTGGGTGGTCTCCTGGTCCCCATTAGTTTTTTGTGGTGTTCAGCCACCCCAATGCACATAAATCATAGTGACATTTACAAACGTAAATTAGGAAAATGAAAGTGTTTTTATTATTCTTTGTTGAATCAAGGGTAATGAGAGCTGAAATAGTTACAAAATTAAGCACTTGTAATAATTCTTGTCATAAGCATGTAACATATACAGGGTGGGCAAAGATGGATTTACATGCATGTGAAACAATTAGTTCTTGGGTTAATATGCACTAATTATTGTACTTTCCATATGAGCAACTGTAAACCTACCTTTGCCCGACCCTGTATTAATTCATTTAATTATTGTGGTAACTGGGTAATTATATCTTGCCTTAAAACTTTAAAATTTAAAGAAAATTCATAGATTATAGTATCCCATGTTATTTTTTATTAATTGTTCTGTTACCAATTTTATTCATTGCTTTTCTTATAATCTACACAAATGTGGTCTAAAAGTTTATCCTTCCTGCAACAAATATTATTTTTCTTTTTTAAAGATAATTAATTTGCTCACCCTATTTTGGGGGGATTATTTTCTTTAGTAAAGGAGACCAAGAAGTTATTAAAAAGACTTCAACTGCAAAGAAGTCATTTTTTGTCTTTACCTTATAAAACATGTATGTACCATTAACAGCCAACTTTGCATTCATTTCTAAGTAGTAATGCCAATGGTAAATGCTTTAAAATTTAGTCCTCTATGATTTGATATTTCCCCTTTTGATGAAATACAAATGTGAAATTTTTCAGGCTTAGCAGAATTAGGTACCTTGTGCGATCCTTTACGGAGCTGCTCTATCAGTGAAGAGAACGGACTCAGTGCTGCCTTCACCATAGCCCACGAGCTTGGGCACGTGTAAGTACTGTCTGGCACCTCAGGACACGTCTTCTATTCATTCTATTTAGTGTGCCTAAAATTCCGCCTTCAACAAGTAATTAGCGCCTTCATGTCTTAAAAATATTTGTAGTGTAATTTGTATCTCTGAAATGCTAACTCGGGCTCTTTTGTGATTTGTGTTAGGTCAGACAGGCTGCACAGATCAACAGCCTAAGCAAAGAACTAGAACTTGGGAATTCTTTTATTTCATTTACTGTATTGGATTACATGACAAGCACTTGTGGCCTCTATACCTTGTTATCCTATACATGACCAGGTACTGTCTACCATCTTATGGGAGGGCCTATAGGGGCTCCTGTTTATGGGCAACTCCCAAAAATAGCTGTAATACCGACTTCTTTCTTGCTCTTATAGCTCAGAGCCCTAGCAGAGAAGGTGGCACATGGGAATTTCTTAATAATTAAAAGATTGAAAAAGTTTTTTTTCTCCCAGATCCATAGTTTTTTATTGTAAAAAGTTGGGATTCATGTATTTGTTCCTCTATTACTGAAAGTCCTACTGGGGCTCTGTGCTGTAAGGATGGAGGCCGTGATTTCCTGTGCACCTGTAGAGCCCCCATGGGAAGCCAGAAGCCTCTATACAAAGTCATCCTCCGTATGGTGATTCCGATGCACTCCCAGTTCTCCTGGGGTTGCTTGGTTAATGGCTGACAAGGAATTGAGTCTTGATTTGCCTCTTAGTTTAACTACCTTTATTTTTCCTGGTCATGCCTTGGCAGAATTAGAGTATTCCACTGGGATAACTCCAAGTGGAGATCATTTCTATTAAACTACTGCCTCTTCAGTTCCCTTTTAGTGTGGTTATATCTCATGAGCATGGGCAAGACGCACACTCAGATTAAGTTTTTTCCTCAAGTGGGAGGTTAGGATCAGGAGCATAATTTAGGGCCACAGACACACTGCAGTGACATCTGAAAAGCACTATTTGCTGGTTTAGAAGACTGTTCTTGCAGAGTGCATCATCTTAGATATTAATTTTCTTCCCGAGAAACTCCTTAGGTGTCTTTAGAATACGGGTAAGTAGTTGAACTTAAAAGACAGACTTTAGAACACACTCCAGCCTGCCAAGTACTTTCCACATTCCTTTTAACTGCAAGTTTGTATTTGGGTCCTCAGAAGAATGCATAGGGTCAGTTGCCAATCAGCTAATTATTCAATATTGCTCTTGTGAAGATTTGGTTGCTTTTTAGGAATGTTTTTATTACTCTAGTTTATTAATCATCATTTATTGATTATAGATAGCAACTTAGGCTGTTTCATATAATATAGGTAGACATCATAGACTGACATGGAATCAGTGATTAAAGAAGCCCTTTTGACACTGTACCAATAATCAATGGTCTGGAATTTAGTGTGGTATTGCCTGTACCTAATCTTTCCACACATCTAAGATATGCACGTTGAAAACTGCCAGTATTTTTATATGAGTGCTTTATTCATATTGTGAGGAGGTAAGTGAGAATACAAATATTTTATTGTTTAGATTCAGATGCCTTTTAGACTGCTAATGATCAAAATTAGCATCTAGTCTTTCTCAGAGGTTATGTGCTTCTTAATGTGAAGATAACCTAGTTGAATAATGCTTTGTGAAGAGATCAAGAATACGAATTTGGATGTAAGCAGACTTACCTGCATTTTATATTATAATACAAATTTAAGAGATCTGTTAGTAATGTTGTATACATATTTTAGTATCCTTTTTAAGTGTCTGTTTTTATTTTTAGATTTAATGTTCCCCATGATGATAGTTTTAAATGTAAGGAAACCGGAATTAAACATCAATATCACGTGATGGCCCCAACTTTAAATTACCACACGAGTCCTTGGACCTGGTCCAAGTGCAGTCAGAAATATATCACCGAATTCCTAGAGTAAGTCTGACTTACTGTTCTTTTAGTTCAATTACTGAACATTTATTAGATTATAAACTTTGAAATTTGTATGTTCTCTTAATGGGGTTTGATTTCTGTTTAGTTTTTTATTGTTTACATTTGAGCTTACATTCACTGTACAAATGGATGTTTAAAAACATGGGAAGAGAATTGTTTGCATTTCACTCCTAAAATTTTTGACATGTTGCAATTCATATCTAGCATTTTCCCTGCCATTTACCACTTTTAAATATGATCATGTACTCTAACATCAATTTGCAAGGTAGATAGTATCACTCTTAATGTACAGATGTGGAGACTTAGGGCCCAGGGCGATTAAGTGACTTGTCCGCAGGCGCGCATCCTGGGAAGTGGTGGAACCAAGAACGCAGTCCCCAAGTCACTGCCGCTGACTCTGCATCATACTCCTTTCTTGAAAAACCTCTTTGAGGTGGAGATGGCATAATACTACTTTTTGAAAGTCCTTCGTTTTGTTGTTGTTTAGAGCTATAAATGTACTTTCTCAAATTATTTGAAAATGTTTTTACGTTGTGACTTTTAGATGTAAGGCGTTACTGTCGGATAGCACAATAGACCAAAAGTATAGTATGGTCACCACATGCATGTCTGTTTCATAAATTGTATTCTGATGGATTTGTCATGGTTCTTTAAAAAAGAAATTGTACCTTCAAGGCCATAGTGGGGCTCAGATAAGAGCAAACATATAAGAAGTTTTTTGTAAACAGTGAGGGTTTCTTACTGACTTTAATTTGAGCTGGGTTTTAAATTATAAAAAATATTGATATTCTCTTTGGAAGTGTAGAAGTAGAGAAAAGGTGATAAAGAATCTTATACTGGTATGCATCTCTATATATTCACAATATTTTCTTTTTCACCACTGGTGCAGTACTGGTCACGGGGATTGCCTCCTTGACAAACCTAATGGAAGAATCTATGACCTGTCTTCTCAACTTCCTGGATTAATGTATGATGTCAACAAGCAGTGTGAACTTATGTTTGGTCCTGGATCACAAGTGTGTCCCTATTTGGTAAGAAAATCTTTGTCCTTTTGTTTGAAAACTACCATAAAGTTGCAGTTTGAATTTATTTAAAATTATATATTTTCTTGAAAAGAAGGCAAACTAAATATATCTTAAAAGTTCTAAGTGTTAGAAAAATTTGCTATTTGTCAGAAAGAGGTAAAAAAATGGCAAACTGTGGCAGGTACTGTGTTAGGTATTTATTTTTCCTCTCTCTTTTTTAATTTAATTATTGTTCAAGTACAGTTTTCTCTTTTACTCCCATCCCAGCCCCCCCCCCCCATGCTCCCCACCTCCCTCCCATTTCCACCCCGGTTAGTTTTTGTCCATGTGTCCTTTATACTTGTTCCCGTGAATCCTTCCCCTTTTTCCCTGAAATTCCTTCCCCTTCCCCCTCTTTGTTGGGTATTTAAAAATCATCTTTGCTAACTCTCACAAAATCCTGTGACGTAGTCCCATTTAGAAATAAAGCCACAGAGAAGTTTTAAAAATTAAAGGGATTTAAATATTTACTTTCAATTGATATTATTTTGGGGATGGAGGAGAAAATGAGGTAAGACATTTTTGTATTTTGATGATGAGTTGTATTAAGAGACACATAAATATAAGACTGCATTTTAATTTATATAGATTTGAATCGAGAGGAGTCAGATTTGGTGCCTGTTTTTAAGTGTGCATTAAACTATGTCTAAGCTATGTTCAGAATTTCTCATAGGTTGGGTAGGGGTAAGAATTGTTGGGCCAGCAATGCAACCTTATTTATTCATTTAAATAAAGATACATGCCCAGTGTTCAGTTAAAGATCTGCCACTTAATAGGTGCCATAGAGTAACTGCTTGTTGAATGAATGAATGAAAGTTACTGACCAGTGGGTGCAGGGACACACACAGCATACTCCACATAGTGAATATTGTTCCTAAAAGCTTAAGTTTATGGTCACAAATTTTAATAAGCCTTTTAACATGGGCTAGGGAGGATGTAAGGTTCACCTTACTTATTTTCTTTATATAAAAGATACATTTCTTTCTTTTTCCTACCTGAGTTAGACACTAAATAAACTTTGAATTTAAATTCAGAAAAAGAAAGGGATTATCTTGGGGATAGCTCCAGTGAGCGTCCATGGATTTATTTCTTGTGAAAACTTCAGAACCCTTTGTTCAAAAGTTGAAAGTCTGCATTATATTCACAGAACAGGACACCAGTATACATTATACAGTATTTCTATGTGCATTATTCATACATTCCACCATTGGATCAAAGAGGGCTTTTTGGAAACTCCTTGTGAATAACATCTCACAACAGAAAGTCCTTTAGAGAAATGTCTTGCAAAGAGAGAAAAATGTCTCACATAATTTTGAATATTTCCACTCCAATTCATCTCTCCCATTGTTCAATGTATAACAGAAATCTAAAAGTTTTTTTAAAACTACTGTTATTTTATATATTTAGAGGGAAATCAATGGCTAGAACTTACTTCGTGAAGATATTTTGCTGATTATTTCCAGCTCTGACCATGAAACTGGCAACTGTGTAAGATCAGTGTTTGAACTGCATTATCTTGAACCTGGTGGTTGTGGCATGCCTTTTACTCTCACTCCCCTGCCCCGTGTTACTCTGCAGAAGCAGTGCAGGCGCCTCTGGTGCACGAGCGCAGAAGGAGTTCACAAGGGCTGCCGCACGCAACACATGCCGCTGGCAGACGGCACCAGCTGCGGTCCTGGGATGGTAGGTTTTCTCCAAGGGTGAGTCTTGTGTCCAGATTATCCGAGGATGTGATGCTCTGAGTTTCAGCACTCTTCATCGTTTGCTGTGACCTTTTGTTCTGCTCATTGATTTAATGTTATTGCCATGTGTTTGTTTTTTTGTTGTTGTTATGGACTATGGTGTCTAGTGAATCGAAATGATGACCCATTTTTCAAGATCTAGCAGGTGAATATTAAAGTCATAGTTATTATGAAATAATTACATGTTTATATAGTTATTTAAGTATATTACAGTGTCTTTATTAAAAATGAGCATAGACACAAAGGTCCTACTATTTCAGAAAATTCCCAAATTCAAAGATGTTACCATTTCATACATTTTTCCCCATAAAATTCAGTTAAGCATAACTGAAAGTTTGAAGTGTCTCCTTTGGCTCTCATTAGTTCTAAACATATATTGAAATACATATTATATTATAATAAACTGCCTACCATACTACACCGTTACCATTCTAACATCATTCATGAACTTCTGTAAATCTGCCAACATGACATGCCCAGTGATAGGGCTCACCTTGATAATGACATGTGCCGTATGTGAAGATGCAGTCACCCTGAATTTGGTACTCAAGCGTGAAGGCAAGTTATTTTGGCCTTGGTACCCAATGTCACCTGTACTGAATACATTTTAGTCTGTTAGCCTCCTCTGAGCTACACCAGTGCAAAAGGAACACTTCTCAGCAGTGTGTCGGCTAGTGCTGCCGAAGTTCCCGTTAGGCAAAAGTAAAAACTTGAAGTTCAGTTTCCTAGTTGAACTTATGTCTCTACCACTTTTCGTGTTATTGAGATGTTTGTACCAGCTGCTGCCCTTTCCTTGTCTCACTTTTCCTTCAAAGGGCATGTTTTCCATGGATTTCATTCACATCACAAATTCAAGTTTTATCTGGAGTTTCAGCAGTTTTTGCAGTTGCTGAGATACACATTGAATCAAAAATCTAGTGGAATTCTTCAGTTTATGGATTTAAGATGGAACTGAATTTTATTTTTAAGATTTCGTTTATTTTTAGAGAGGGGAAACGAGGGAGGAGAGAGAAACATCACTGTGTGGTTGCCCCTCGAGTGTCCCCCACTGGGACCCTGGCCTGCAACCCAGACATGTGCCCTGACTGGGACTCAGACTAACAGTCCTTTGGTTCGCAGTCTGGTGCTCAATCCACAGAGGCACACCTGCCAGGGCTGGAACTGAATTTTAAAATTTGAACTTCACTTACAGTTTCTATTTGGAGAGTAAGAATTAATCATTAAAAAGAATTTTTTCTCAATTCTTGTGACTAGTACTTGTAACTATTTTGGGGGGTGGAGCTGTGGCATTTGTGAGAGTAATTGATGATCTGAGGGTAAGAGAGAAAAAGACCTCTCTGAATATTAGGAAGAAGATTTGCTCCAAAGATATTCACCCGATTCAAATCTAGGATTGGGCCTGAATGCCTTAGCAAATTTTAAAGTTACTTTATCCCATGGACATTCAGGCTTGATTTCATGTGGCTAAAATAATAACTGATATATTGATAACTATTAAGAGATACACACTGTGTGTAACTAATTCATTGAGCAACCTGAGTCCAGTTTGGGCATAAACATTTAAAAAACTGAGATATCTGAGTAAAATGCACTTATCTTAAGCATGCAACTTGACAGGTTTTACTGAGTGTGGATGCACACACAGCCAACATCCCTGTCGAGAAAGTTCAGTCTTGACTCTTTGTTGACAATTTCCCTTCTCTCCAGAGAGAGCTCCTGTCCATATTTCCATCTTCATAGATTAGTCTCTCTGTTCTTGATTTTAGTGTCAAGGGAACTAGTCTCTCTGTTCTTGATTTTAGTGTCAAGGGAACTATATAGTATAAGCTTTTGGGGAGGGGAGTAGAGTAGGTCAAGCTTCTTTGGCTCAACATAATGTTTTTAAGTTTCATCCATATTACTGTATGCATCAGTACTTCATTCCTTTGTGATGTGGTATAATTCAACTGTACAAGTGCACCGTAATTTGTTTACTGAGTCTTTTGTTGATGGATATTTGGATCATTTCCAGGTTTTGGCTGTTACGAACAAAGCTGCTGTGAGCATCCTTGTACAGGTCTCCTTATGGGCATATGTTTGCATTTCTTTTAGGTAAATCCCTGGAGTAGAATTTCTGGGTCATAGGGCAGGTGTATGTTTAACTTCCCGAGAGAGTGCTAGACAATTTTCCAAAATATGTGTACCATTTTAGACTCCTGCCAAATATCTGAAAGTTCCAGTTGTCCTTCATTCCTTGCCAATTTTTGATATTGTGAGTGATTTAGCAAAATTTATTCTGGTGGCTGTAACATGGAATTTCACTGTGGTTTTAATTTGCATTTCCCTGATTATTACCAATCTTAAGCATCTTTTCATGTGATGATTATCCATTTGAATATCTCCCCAATGACATTATGGTAGGCATGGATTTGTCAGGATTCAGATAAATGTGACAAGTACTGAAACCTTCTTCAAAACCCATGTAGGTTGAAAGCAGTGGTGGTGTTTGGGGTAACTGCAGGTGGATCATAATAGGTATAAATTCCCCTTTATATTAATTGAAAGTAGTGAGCTCTTATATTGCATTAGCAATATCCTGTATTAAATGGATCTTTTACTCAATGGTGAACAGTATAACACTTTATCTTTTTCATGCTCTGATTTTTCATGCACATGTGCATGAGTGCATGGAGGGATTATTGAAATATTTCTGGAAGATGCCAACAAAATTGACATGTACCTAGTACATTCTATTCTAAGAATCTGTTTTTGTGCACTCCTAATGTGGCCTTCTTATGTCAAATGATTTGTTCCAGTGGAGGGCCCAGAGCACTTTTCCTTCTAATAAACTTGTCTATAGGATTTATTCATTCAAGGAAGATTTAATAAGGGCTGCTGCATGATTAGATCAACTCAAGAGATTTTGAGGGGGCAGGGTAGGAGTTTGATTTGGGGCTTCTATATTTGAAATGTTTATTAGACATTCAAATGAAGATGAGGAAGCAGTTGTCCATGTAATTTGTAGATCAAGAGAAAGATCTAAACTGGGAGTGATTATTGATAGAGAAGAATAGAGAGCCATGACCTGAGCCTGGCAACATTACAGTATTTATGTGATGGAGTACTACACAGCAGTAAAAAAAGAAAATCTTACCTATTGTGACAGCATGGATGAATCTGGAGAATATTATGCTAAGCAAAATAAACCAGTCAATGAAAGACAAATACTACATGGTCTCATTTATATGTGGAATCTAATGAACAAAATAAACGAATAAATAGAAGTGGAAGCATAAATACATAGAAAAGACTGACAGTGTCTAGAAGGGAGTAAGGATGGGGCACTGGGTGAAAGATAGTGAAGGGATTAACCAAAGGACACTTATGCATGACCCGTGGACACGGAAAATGTTATGGGGATTGACTGAAGGAAGAATGTGGGGTAGGTGGAAGGTGGGGCAAGGGAGACAAATTGGAAACAATTGTAATTGTATAAACAATAAAAAAGATAAACAAAAGAATTTGGAAAGAAGGAACAGCAAAAAAAAAACCCCTGTAAAGTAGTAATTATTAAAGAAGAAAGAAAACCAAGAGTATGGAGCCTTGGAAACCAAAAGAAAAATGATGAATCAAGAATAACCTATAGAGCATTATGCTAAGTGGGAACTAAGCCAGGCGGTGAAAGACAAATACCATATGATCTCACCTGTAAGTGGAAACTAATCAGCAAAACAAACAAGCCAAATATAACCAGACATTGAAATTAAGATCAAACTGACAGTGACCAGAGTGGGTAGAGGAGGATAACGGGGCAAAGAAGGGGAGGGGTCGTCAAGGAACATGTATAAAGGGGGAGGGGATGATTGAATGAGGGAGGTGTGGGTAGTAGCGAGGAGAGTATTGGGGGAGGAATGGGACAACTGTAATTGCAGAACAACAAAAATGGAAAAAGAGAATAATAAATAGCCCTATCATATATTTCTAAGTCGAGGAAAACAGACTGAGAACTGGCTATTGGTAATACACTGTGGATGGCTGCTGGAAACTTACACATGAACAGATTCATGGAGGTTGGGGTATAAAAGCTTGGCTACAGTGAGTTTATAAAAAAGTAGGCAGAGAGTTAGACAATGGACAAAAACAACCCTTTCAAGGAGAAGCAGGACAGCAGCTGGGGAGGAAAGTGAGATCTAAGAAAAGTTGTTGATTTCTGGTGGGAGAAACAAGAATATGCTTATATGTTGGCTAGAATATTCTAGTGGAGTATTTTTAAACTGTCTCTAGTAAAGGACCAGTCTTCTCCTTCTAAAAATTTGTTTTTTGGTATAAAATGATAAGTGATTAACTAGCAAAATGAAATAAAAGAAGACATCCAAAATGTAAGCCAGATTTTCTTATAGAAACACTGGCAGTTCCTCAAAAAATTAAAAATAAAATTATCATATGACCCAACAATACCACTTCTGGGGTATATATCCAAAAGAATGGAGAGCAAGGCCTTGAAGAGATATTTATATGCTCATGTTCATAGCAGCATTATTTACAGTGGCCAAGAGATGAAGCAACCCAACTGTCCATCAACAGATGAATGAGTAAACAAAATATGGTACATACATGCAAGAAATTATTTAGCCTCCTTTTAAATTCAACATATTGGCATGGCATTGGTTAATAAGATCCTATAGATCTCAAGTGTACAATTCTGTGACACATTATGTGTGTATTATATTGTGTGCCCACCACCTAGATTGTCTTTTTAAAAGAAGGAAATTCTGGCACATGCTCCGTGTGTGAACCTTGAAGACATTATGCTAAGTGAAATAAGCTAATCATAAAGACAGATACAGGATGAGTTCAGTTATATGACATATATCTAGAGTAGTCCAATTCACAGAAACCAAATAGAATGGTGGTTGCCAGGGGCTGGGAGGAGGGGAGGATAAGGAATTATTATTTTGTGGGTACACAGTTTTTGTTTGGGAAGATGAAGATTTCAGTTTGGACAGATGGTTGCACATTAACAGCATGAATGTACTTAATACCACCAAATTGTACACTTGAAAGTGGTTAAGGTGGTAAACTTCATGTTAACAATGAAAGTGAAAAATTTAAATATAAGCTAATCTTTAAATTATTACCTTTAGTAAACATAAAATTACTCTGTAAACTCTTACAAAAGCTTCTGAATGCTCACGGGGACAGTGGTGCTATAGGAGAGATGAGAGAATTGCTGAGTGACATTCTGAGTAATGAGAAGGCCTGTGCTTGGTACGTGGGTGGGTGGAGGGGTTGACCGTGGCTAGGATCCTGGAGTTTTCATGTGTACAAAGAGGCAGAAAGGCCAAGTACTGGGCAAAGACGCTGACCAGTGGGTAGCGTGGGCACTGGGAGATGGCAGCAGGTTCTTTAAGTTTCCATTTTCTTGGTGTAAATAAGAAACAAAATGATTATTGAGACTTTGGGTGAAATAGAGTAGAAAGTTAGCCAAGAGAGTGAGAAAAGGATAGATAACTGCACAAAAACAGCAAGCATGGACATATATTGTATTAATCCAATATTTGCTCCTTTGTAAAAAATCTTTATTTTACTAAATTTGTTTTCATGTGTGTAGGTCTTCCTTCCCCTAGAGAAACTAAGTCTCAAAGGCAAGGGGAATTTTTAATTCTTTTTGCACTTCATAGGTTTTCTTAGTTAACTCAGTAGATATACAGTAAATATTCAGAGCATGGTGCTAAATGTAATCACATCTGAAATAACATTTTGCTTTAAATTGTATACATTTCGTTCTATTGACATTCATGCTGCTATTGTAGTTATTGTGGTATTCTAATTAGATGTACATGAATCACTTCTTTTTGTGTTGTTTTTGTAGCATTGCCACCATGGCCTATGTGTAAACAAAGAAATGGAAACACGTCCTGTAGATGGTGAATGGGGACCATGGGGACCTTACAGTTCTTGTTCAAGAACATGTGGAGGTGGAATCAAAAGCACATCCAGACTCTGTAACCGCCCCGAGTATGTCTTTTTTATGTCACTGTAAATTAAGATTATCTCAAGGCACCAGAAACTAAACATCAGTTTCATTCACTTCTAAACTGGAGGTCAGTCTGTAAGTTTCTGAGATTCAGAAAACTTCGGAACACTTTAAGTCATATTACGTTATATCTTGGTAGATTCAGACCTTAAAAAAAAACTAAACAGTTTTTTTCAGACCTTAATTCTGAAATTACTTTTATAGTAATTTTTAGAATCTGAGTTAAGACACAGCCATTTTCCCCTGATTTATTGCATATTTGAGAAATAGCTATAAATAATGACAGTAGTGTAATGGTATTTTTACACTTAATTGTGTTTCTATCGAAAGCTACTTTTGCCTTTTAACTATGCTTTGTCTCTCCTGGTCAAAATATGTACTTTCATTACCAGGGTTTTTTTTTTTTTTTGGTAATTTGACAAGTCATATTTTCTGTCTTTGCTTCTTATGTTATAGATCCATCCATGTGTTTAGCATGAATAAGTACTGAAGCTTATCTCCGCTCAATATTATTTAAAAGAATTTAGAGATTCCATAAAGGTTTTTAAATGTTTCTATTGTTATATGATATATATATATATATGTAAGCAGTAATGACACGTTTTACTTAAAGTCTATTAATAAGAACTTTTAATGTAGAAATATGACATTCTAAATAAAATCTGAGTTCATTTGAATTTTAGAATAACTAAGTTATGCATTAAAAAATGCCGAGGAAAGTTATTTTCCAGCATAAATTGAAATAGAGATGGATGAATATGGTTTGATACCATGAAACTCTTTGAACTGAGTGATAAACAGGATAAATATGACAAAGACACATTCGTATTTCCATATTTCTTCTTTTATTTCACATGGTGTTATCTTTCTTTGTTATCACCTTTGGCTCACTGTCTCTTTTCCCCCAGAAAATGAACAAACCACTTTTTGAAGTTTTAAGATAAATTCCCATCATAGTTCCCTATTAGTTAGTTGAGGGATGGAGCAGGTACCATTTCCACCCTCCTGGCCACAGTGTCCACGGAGAGGGGTGTTTTTAGTTGATTAGCCATAGACTTGCTTAAACACCCTGCTGCATCTGTCCCATACGCAGCATTAGTGGGGCACCCTGGAAAGGAATGGAGCAGTTTTGGAAGTAAATGGCCGAAAGAATGTTGTACTGATGTGCTTTAAAATGTAATGAATTTGACTAGGCCAAGAAACGGAGGAAAGTACTGTGTGGGCCGCAGGATGAAATTTCGGTCATGTAACACTGATTCATGTCCAAAAGGCAAGCAAGATTTTCGAGAGAAGCAGTGCTCCGATTTCGATGGTAAACACTTCAACATCAATGGTCTTCCTCCTAACGTGAGATGGCTTCCAAAGTACAGCGGGAGTAAGTAGTCAGAATATTTTTGATGAGGGTATTGTCCAGAGACATAGGAATACACAATTGTTTTATTGCTCAACAAAAATTTGACTTTTGTGTGTGTGTGTGTGTGCAGTTGCCATAAAAGATCGCTGTAAACTCTATTGTCGGGTTGCTGGAACCACTAACTTCTACCAGCTGAAGGACAGGGTTGCCGATGGCACCCCTTGTGGAACTGAAACTAATGACATCTGCGTTCAAGGCCTGTGTCGGGTAAGTAGACTTATATTGAAGTGACATTCAGAAGATGGTTGTTTCCACTGTTTCACGATACTTCCTTGTGGATTCCTTTGGTGATTCTCATACTGTCTGCGGGAGTATCGTAGGAGACTGTTTATTGGGTGATCTTCAGCCATCAAGAGTAACTCATGAAGCATTAAGATAAGTGGGCCAGTTTTCTTTTGCAGTAACTCAAAATCAAGACAATGGATGAAGTCAACTTTCTGAAAAGATAATGTTAGGATGCAAGTGTTGTAAAACCTTTTGATCCTTCACGTGGACCTTCTGTAGTGACTTTTTTACCTGCTCTGTGCTAAAAGCAGTGATATCCTCCCTCCCTCTTTCCATTATCTTCTCTTACTTCTTGGGTACCTGTATCAAACATGTACTGAGTACCTACTAGGTGGTTAGATAAAAGGATGGAATAGAGTACTAACCTCCAAGGAGTTCACAGATTCGTGAGGGAGATAGGCAGATAGACAATTATAACGCGCTGCTATTGAGTCATCGGCAAGGTGGCTGGGGTTATTAAGGAAGGGGTGTCTTATTTATGGGGAGGTGGTTAAAGGCTTTGGAGACTGCTCCTGGAGTGTGTGAGGACTGAGTAGGATGAGTAGGTTTTAGAAAGGCGAGGAGGTGTAAGGGACCAGGGTTGGAAGTAGGGGCTAGCTGGTGGGTATTTTATGCGTTTTCTTGAAGTCCTTGGAGGTTCTTAGAAGGACTTGGATTGAGCAAGAGATGTAATTTAATTTTCATGGTAGAATGTTTAGAATGTGCTGAGGTAGGAGAAGACTGGAACTAGGTGGGCCATTTAACAAGATTCTTGGTGAGCAGCTGAGACCCCGAATTAAAGCACATACATTGCACCTGGTAATCTTAAAAACTGGTGATGAATTCGAAAACGAGGATAGTGAATGCTGTCTAAAGGATACAAATGTAATTTTATGAACTCATTCTTTTGGTTCCGTGGAACTTGCTAGGGCCAATTCTCCCAATAACCAAACATCCAATACCGGTTATCCAGGTGATAAAAGGTGTTGCCCACAAAGTACTAATAAGATGTTCAAAGGAACGTAAAGTAACACACACATTGGAATGCCTTAAATACTAGAAAAAGGGGGCTCGGCGGCCTGAAAAACTTGTTTCATCTACATTAATGGCAGAAAGTCATATAAAATTTAAAAAACACGATTCCCTGGACACATAGATGCATACTACTTTCAGAAAATACCCGGTTGAAATGTTAATTTTGGAAATATTTGCCCTGTGTGTAAAAATTTATGAGGTTTATAAAATATTATTAGTTTTCTGATTACTGAATTTGGAGGAGTACTCTGTAGAACTAAAGGTTATGGCAGAAGATACCGTCTGCACTTCGGGCTTTTAGACTCCTGAAGCAAACCATTTATTTTCACCTTTATGTATTTGTTCTTTTTCACAAACTTTATTGTAAATATTAATTTTGGAGAAATAAACTTTCAGTTGTACTCAGTTTATTTCCAGAGTTCTAATGTCATGAGTTAAAAAAAAGTCACGAAAGACCTCTTTTGGGAGGTATTTTAATGTGTTACTTACATAGTCATACTATTTGTCCCTTTTGAATTCATTACACTTCTTTAAAGAGTGGCTTTCAAATGATGGCTATAAGCATCACTGTCAGTGTTGGTTACTATGTGTATTCCTAGGCTTCGCCTACAAGGTTTTCAGTAAGAAAATCTGGGACTCTGACTTCCTAGGCACCTCCCTATGTGATTTTGATGCAGGAGGTATGTAGATGGCTCTCTGAAAAATACTGCTTTTTCAACCATGGGACAGGTGAAAATATTGGTATATAACAATGCTAGTAGATATTATGAAAAAAATCCTGCTCTTTCAAATTTTCTATTAATTAAACTTAAATATATTGGAACCTAATTTAAGTTCTTAACAAAAAGATCATTTTTATAAAGATCCGTGTTTATCATTAGTCATTTTTATAATATTAATTTTAATTTTTGTATTTTGAAGCAAGCTGGCTGTGATCATGTGTTAAACTCCAAGGCCAGGAAAGACAAATGTGGAGTGTGCGGTGGGGATAATTCATCATGCCGGACGATGGCAGGGGTCTTCAACAGTGCTCATTATGGTAGGCTGTGTATCTGTTTCTAGTTTTCCCTGTATTTTATATAATAATCGTGTATACAATGAAGGTATACTAGTCATGATTGTTACTGCTGTGCTACTCTAAACTCTTAGTTAAAAATGGTTGTTAAAATTTTTTTTTCTAAATATGAAAAATTAAGTCTTATACCAGATGTGTCCTTGAATTAATCAATTCACTGGCTCAAAGCAAATCCAATTTTTAAAATATATTAGGTGCCTTTATTAGAGTATATCCACTGCTGTTTGACAATGATGTTTGAACAGGCCCCCCAGTCACCGATGTGTTCTTACTGCTGTTCCTGTCATCTGTAATGCATATACTTATAACGTTTCCAGGAAACTTGCTTTGATGTATTTTTTCATCATCGGAACAAAATTTTTTGGTGTGACCTGTCCTATCTTGTTTCTTATTGAGGATATATTGAAAATGCTGATTGAAGGTACAGGATAAAACCATTAACTTAAATGTGGCTAGAAGCCCTAGCTGGTGTAGCTCAGTGGATTGATCATGGGCTGCAAACCAAAAGAGTCGCCAGTTCAATTCCCAGTCAGGGCACATGCCTGGGTTGCAGGCCAGGCCCACAGTGGGCGTCGTATGAGAGGCAACTGATCAATGTTTTTCTCACATACTGATGTTTCTCTCCCTTTCTTTTTCCTTCCCTTGCCCTCTGTCTAAAAAATAAATAAATAAAATCTTTTAAAAAATGTGGGTAGAGAATTATTATTACATTTGCTCTTCTAAGAAGGATCTGGATTACAGAGTTCATTGATATTTGGCCATGATTTAATTTTTCTTCACAATCGTTAGGAGAATACAGCAGGTATTTTCCATTCTAAAATTTTCTGGGAAGCATTTTTTTTCTTTTCTTGGTAATAAAAGCAGCTCTTTAAGATTTCCCTTGAAAAATAAAAATATGTTTTACAGTTCTGGTGTTCATTTTTTAACTACATTCACATGTGTCTGAGCATCATTGTTTAAGATGGTGTGAACTGCTTCAATTAAAACAGTATAATTTAAAACAAAATTTACATTTTTATTCATATTAAAAGTCTAGTACACTTTTCACTATGATGATGCTTATGAGTCTCAGTGACTAGATGATTTTATGTATTTTGTTAAGATTCATTTTTCTACAGGAGTCATACATATTCAATCCCTTTTTTATAACTAATGGCACACATTTATCAAAGGCGAGTCTGTATTCACTGAAAAACATTTTTTCCTTTAGAAAACCCTATGTGCCAAATTACTATTATATATTTAATCTTGCCAAATTGTACTATGGATTAAACTGTTTGAAAATGAAAAAAGACGTTAAATTCATCTGCAGGGTCATATAGCATTTATCACGCTACTGCCCCCTGGTGGTGGCCTTCGTCTTGTCACTTTTGCCATGTCTAGGAATTCCTTTCTTGAGAAACAATAGGAAAGACAAATAGTGAAGGTCATAGGAATATTGTATAGTTAAAAAAATCATGATTAAAGTTATTCTCAATTATTAAAATTACTGATACCTACAACCATATCATATAGTATCTACAGAATCCTCAGACCGTTTACCACCTTATATTTTAATGTGATGCCTTAAATATAAATGAGGCTACTCTAAAAACATGCAAGGTAATTTCATGTTACTGAGCTCTTTTAAACTTCCTCTTCTTAAATTCATTTCATATTTATCAAAGTTTAATATACAAGAAAAAATTCACCTCCTTTTATTCATCTATTAGAAGGAGGAAAAGGAAAAACTTAGAATTAATATCGCAAGAGCGACTGAGAATATTTGAACAACTATATAACATGAGTGTTTTTAGTGTAGTGAAAATTTTCCATTCTTCATATATGTTTAATGTAGTTTTCCTCATCTTTTGAGCAGTACCAGTGTTGGTGAATTTTCATTAAATAGAAATATTTTCATTTCTCTCAAGTAAATGCTTTGCTGTTCTCTGGAGAATTTGGTAGCAGACATAAAAATAATGTAAAATTTTGGAGGTAGTTATAGGGATTTCTGCTTCCACTAGAAACTAAAAGCTTAAGAAAAATATGTTTCTCATTAACTCACATTATTTTGCTGTTTACGAAGTCTCTGTGCACACATAGAGCAGTGACCAACTGTTTTGATGTCTGCTTGATTTGCGAATAGCATTTGGATTCCTGTATTTTTAAAAAACCTCGAAGAAATATCAAATGTAAAAGTAATAGTCAAATTTTCAAAAAGATATGAGTATAAAATATATCAGGAACTAACAGTAGTTTTATTCTCATCCTATATTCAGAATTTTAGAAATAAGAAAAATTAGGAAATGTGCTTTAAGGGTTCCAAACTCTGTACGTTTCTAGACGACAATCACTTTTTCCTCGATTCTTAGTAATTTGTATAAAGCATTGATTTAAAAATGAATAAGCACTGGCATCACTTATTAAAGAAAAAACAAAATTGTCTACACTATTGACATGTTTCCATCATCCAGAAGTAATAGCCTCTGGGACCTCTGTGTTTTGGGGGGAAAGTTAACGTGTATAAAATTGTATTGCAGGTTATAATGTTGTTGTAAAGATTCCCTCAGGAGCAACAAACATTGACATTCTTCAGCACAGCTATTCTGGAAAACCAGAAGATGACAATTACCTCGGTAAACACTTCTAGTAAACAGCACCAATGTGTGGTTCGTGTGTGATTTCATGGAGGTCTGTGGTTGATGTAAATTCTTGGAAGGCAAGGAGAAGCCTTTCAGCAACGTGCAACTTCAGTGCATACTGAACTCGGGTCATCTGACTCCCGATGCGTGTTTTCTTCTGAGCCATATTCTGTCTCCTGTTTGAAAACTATGGAACCAAATTCTGAAAAGGGAATTGGAGTTTATTCCCATGAGAGTGTTTCAGATAACCAAAGGTTACAGTTAGTTAAAGTTGCATGTGTATTTAGAACAAATCTTCTATCTTTTACTCTAAAATTAATTAGAGACTTCTTTCGGGTTAGATGTTTTAAAGAACTTTCTTAATTTTTTTTACCATGTAGCAAATGTATTTAGAGTTTTTTAAAAGCTTTTTTTGTTAAAGACAGAAAAAGAACTATAGATTCATGCTTTTATACCTTAATGAATATAGCCATAGCATACAGGGTAGGGCAAAGGTAGGTTTAAAGCTGTGCATATGCAAAACACAGAATTGATCTTGCATTAGTATTTATTAATTACTGTGTTTCCCATACAAAGAACTGCAAACCTACTTTTGGCCCACTTTATAATGTCTTTTAGCTACTTGTAAAGTTAAAGTTCATTTATTTATATTTACAAATTAGCTTTTAGGTTTAAGAAATTTCTCTTAAGCCTGAAGATGAAGAGAATGTTTTACAAACCTCCTCATTCTGCCTGAATAATACTTTGATATTGACCTATGTATAATTCCCTACAGTTTCGCTAGAGTGTGTGGTATTCCCCAGAATTTCCCCAATATTTCGCTAGAGTGTGTAGTATAGGGCTGAAATCAAAAGTACCTGCTTCACATTAACAAAATGCGAAATATTGGCTCAAATAATCAATGCTTGCAACTGAGGGTTTGAATCTTTAATGAACAGTTCATCTCGGGGATTACATTTGGTATTATAAAGTCAAATGTGAAGGGAACAGCTGTTTAATGGATGCAGGATTTTTTTTGGGGGGGGTGATGAAAAAGTTTTAGAACTGGATGGAAAAGGTGATTAGAAAACCCACTGAATGCCATTGAATCGTTCACTCTAAAATGGTTAACTTCGTTATGTAAATTTCACCTCCATAAAAAGGCAAAGAATTCAAATTCTTAGAGAAAGTCAAATGTAAATATTTTGATTATCCTTTTACATTTAGTTAATGTCTTTCCTAGGTTCCAAATGTAGATATTTGTATCTTCTTAGGAATGGAAAACACATTCTGCCCAAGTTCTAATTTTTAAATCAGAGATGCTCACCAATAAAATATCAAAATACCCAGTAAGAAAACCACTATTGACAATATCAAAATCTAAATTAAAATGAGCAAAATAAACACGAAATCATTCAAAGGGATTTATAAAACATACTTATGAAATTTGCTTTGGTAACTAAGAGTAATAAAATATATACAGGTTTTCTCCATAAAGTTGTGTTTATTTCCCTTAGTTTTAATACAACTGATACTCCCTTAAATAGACCTATGCACTTTTGATAAAATGCAGATTTATATAGAGGAATTTATCCTTTGTAGGATACATGTAGAACTTTATTGGTCCTTCATGAATTCAGTGTAATATTACATAAAGGTGGTCATAATTGTCCATACAGACACCAAACTATCAAACTAATTTGGCAGTAATTACTTCAGGGTTGCATTTTCAAGGGGTGTAGCCATAGGTAACTTGTGTGCCCTGGGTGGGGTTCCCTGGAAGACCAAACACGCGCTTTCCAAACAGGTTGTTGTTCCACTGAGAAGTATATTAGAAAAGCGAGCAAAAAGTATTTGACTAATATGGGGTTTCTATTAGTGTAAAATTTAAAATACTATTTATCCTCTTGAAAATTAAAAAAGCGCAGTGCTTTGCAATTTATCCACAGTAATAGGATGTTTCTCCGTGGAAGAGATCCAGACATTTATATAGAGAGTCATGTAGTCATTGCATGCCTTTGCAAACACTGACCCTAGACTTTAACAGTTTTTATTATTTTTTGACCTTAGAACTGTAACGCTTTGTACATTCTTTTGTAAGATAAGTATAAGTGGAATATCGCCCCGGTCTAGCTGCTCTTTCTGTCCTTGCCACTGAGGAGCAGGTCTGTTGTAGCTGATGTGTCGCTGTGTCCCCGACTTCCTCCTGTTTTCTCACTTCCTCCGTGTCTCCCAAAGCTGCTGTCTTGGGAGGGAGACACCCACCTCATACAGAAAAGTGCAGGGTGAATTTATTTTAGTATCTTTGGCTGATATCCTGAAGTTTCCCTACTTAGGGGTTATATACCACATTATAGCAAAATAAAGTTTATTGTCTCAATACAAAGTTACATTTACATTCTTAATATCAAAAAGGGCTTTGAATCTTAAAAGTTAAAAACGGTTTCTGTGCTGGCGACTGGTTTTCTTGTTTCACGAGTCCCTTTCTTTTACAGCATTATCTGACACTCAGGGGAACTTTCTTTTGAATGGAAATTTTGTTGTAAGTAAGGCAAAAAAAGAAATCAATGTACACGGAGCTATTTTTGAATACAGTGGTTCAAACAACTCTGTTGAAAGAATTAACAGTACTGATCGGCTGGAAGAAGAGCTTGTTTTGCAGGTAAGTGCTCAGAAGTTCTTAGTAAGACTTAGGTTTAATCATATTAGTAAACTGTTATGGTTACTGGCTTTGCATTATTATTAAATATATAATGATATCTTGCCAGGCTGTATCTTCTATGAATTAATTGTATGCTCCTTTGTATTTTTATTGAGGTTTTGTGCGTGGGTAATTTATACAACCCTGATGTACGTTATTCCTTCAATGTCCCTGTGGAAGAGAAGAAGGACCTGTTCACGTGGGATCCACACGGACCCTGGCAGGACTGCACCAGAATGTGTCAAGGTAGTCTGGTGTCAAAGACACTGCAGTTTGTGCATGCGGGAATAATTGGGGGTACCCACTGTCGGCAGCATTATCCCCACTGGCCACGCACATGTACACCACATACACTGTACCGCTTTCCTGTCCTTTCTCCCCTTCCTCCTTTTCTCCCCTCTCATTCTTTCTCTTTCTTATATGTAACAGCCTCATTTATCTTTACCCATTTCAACATTCTGCATTACTGCCTCTTCCCTTTCTTTTCACGCTTTCTTCCTCACAGTCACAGAAAGTGTCTCTAACTGGGATACTGTGTCCCAGTGAAATAATGACTCCCCTCTGCACGTTTCCCTAGCGACCTGTCTCCTCCTAGTGTCGAAGGACCAAACATCCTTTCATTGTCCTTCTGTGGCCACAAGAGATGCATATTTGTACTGATGGCATGAATTACTGAAAGAGGCATAGTGGGAAATGAAAAGTTTACAGTAGGGAAAGAAAATGAAAAGACTGGAGTCTTTAATGGCCTGTAATTATGGATATTTAATTGTATAATACTCTTTGTTCATATCAGTAAACATTTATTGAGGGACTACTTTGCTTCAGGTTATTAATAAGGCCTTCCATTCTGAATTCAAGTTTTAAAGTCTAGCAGATGAAACAGAGTCTGAGTAGACCACCTTAATTTTTAATGACAAATGCAGTTCTTTGAGCAGACACAGAGGGGACCACCAAAAACGTAGAGGGAACCATTTGTGAGGAGATTAAATCTGAAGATACAGGGAAGTTTGTATAGAACGGAAAAGCAGTTCCCATGGGGAGCAGAGAAGAGGTTTGGGAATTAGGGGAGCAGTGGGTCAGAGGAGAGGATGCTACCAAGAACAATGTGGAAATGAGCTGTGAGCATGTGGGTGGCCAGAATCAGGGACCACAGAGGAAGGGAATGTGAGAGACAGTCTAACCAATTGACCTCAAGGTGCCAAGAAAACTGTGGTGTCCCATTCAGAAGAGGCACAGACTTGGTTGTGTGGTTCTGGTACAATGACATCCAGAATGATTGTGTGAGAAGCAGGGGTTCTGTTTGGGTAAGTGGGATAATGAGGTGGATGGTTCAAGGCCAACTGGGATAAATGCTGGGAGTAGGAACAAAGGCTTTGCTAACACAGGAGGAAAAGGAGTGCATTTTCACAGGAAGACCTGGATATACTTTACTGGAAAGAATGGAGGTTTGGGGAGCTGGGGCCAGCTTTTGAGGACGGAGTAGGTAAGCAGGTCTGTGGCAGTGGATGTGGAAAGCTGGGAACATATCCATGGGACAGGGGAATGAAGGCACATTCTGAATGTGGAGAACACGCCAAGCAAAGAACAGCAAGATGCAAAATGGAGGTTGGGACAAGACATGGTGAGATGGTTGGGAGTCTGAAGCAGGAGAGGTCTCTCAACAACTGTGTGCACGGCAGAGGGATCCATTAATTCTATTGCTACACGGTGGTACTGTGATTAATATCCTCTTTGTGTGTGTAAAGTTTCTCTAAAGTTAGTTTCTCTAAAGTTAAACTTCCTCAGTTTTATTTAGTTACTTTTTCTATATTGAAAGTTATCATTCCTCAAACTTTTGGTGAGACCTATGAATTTTGTCTGTGGTTTAATCAGTTGAAGTTTTTCTTCATCTACTGCTACCACGTCCCTCTTTCTCCTGCTCTGATTAATGTTGCTTTTCTATACCTGTTACATGGCTGTCATCTTGTGCTTTCCTTTCATTATTATCTAAGGAAATCTGTTCAAGTTTCTTTTCTGTTGAATTTCCTGTTTCCTAAATCCCATGAATTTCTATTTTTAAAATTTATTCCCTCCATTGGGTGGACTATATCCCCCAATATTTTCCTGGTAAAAAAAGGTAGTTTTTTAAAACTTTTTCTATCTGAAAATGGAATTATTCTATTTCACACCTGATTGATAGTTTGGCTAGTATAAAATTCTAAGTTAGATTATTTTGCTTCACAATTCTGAAAGCCTTGTTTTCTGATTTCCTGTGACACTTTTTGTTCAAGTGTTGTGGACTGTCTCTTTAAATCCTAGTGGTTGTGAAACGTCAGGACAATGTGCCTCCATGTGGGTATGTCTTCCATCTGGTTTCCTAGGTTATTAGGATGCTAATCCAATTTGGAAACGCCATTTGACTTGAGAAAATTTATCACATCATTTCTTTGATAATTTTTTTCACATTAAATTTCTCTTTGATCTTTCCAAAATTTGTATTATTTGGATATTTGATCTCCTGGATTGATCACTATTTTCTCATTTCTGTTCCTTACATTGTTTTCTTTCTTTTCTTTTTTTTTTTTTTTTTTGGCTTAACCCTATGCTTTTAAAAAGTTACTGTATTTTTTCCATTACCATTTATCCTGCTTATGCCCCTTGCTGCCCCATAGTCATCACACTGTCGTCCATCCGTGATTCCTTTTTTCTTTTTGTTCCATCCCTCCACCCCCTAAACTTTGCCCCCAGAGCTGTCAGCCTGCTCACTATCTATGAGTCTGTCTGTTTTGCTTGTTAGTTCAGTGTGTTCATTAGATTCCACACATGAGTGAGATCATACGGTATTTGTCTTTCTCTGACTGACTTATTTCACTTAGTATAATGCTCTCCAGGTCCATCTATGTTGTTGCAAATGTTAACACTTTCTTTTTTATGGCCAAACAGTATTCCATTGTGTAACTGTCCCATAGTCGTTTTACCCACTCATCTACTGATGGATACTCAGGCTGCTTCCGTATCTTGATCATGAATAACACTGTAGTGAACATAGGCATGCTTATGTTCTTTTGAACTACTGTTTTGGGTTTCTTTGGATAAATTCCCAGAAGTGGGATCACTGGGTCAAAAGGCAGATCCCTTTTTAATTTTTCTGAGGTATCTCCATACTGCTTTCCACAGTGGCTGCACCAGCCTGCATTCCCACCAACAATGTAAAAGGGTTCCCCTTTTTCCATATCCTTGCCAGCATACAAGAATAAGTTCAAAATGGATCAAAGACTTAAAAGTTAAACCTGAAACCATCAAAATCTCAGAAGGAAACATAGGCAGTAAAATATTGCATATTGCTTATAGAAATATTTTATTGGATATATCTTCTCTGGCAAGGGAAACAAAAGAAAATAAACAAATGAGACTACATCAAACTAAAAAGTTATTGCACTGCAAAGGAGACCATCAATAAAATAAAAAGACAACCAATGCAATGGGAGAACATATTTGCCTATATATCGATAAGGAGTTAATATCCAAAATTTATAAAGAACTTATAAAACTCAAGACCAAAAAACCATGCACACACACAAAAATACACAATAAAGAAATGGGCAAAGCACCTGAATAGACACTTTTCCCAAGAGGACATACAGATAGCCAATAGACATGTGAAAGGATGTTCAATGTCACTAATCTTCAGAGAAATGCAAATTAAAACCACAATGAGATATCACCTCACACAGGTCAGAATGGCTATCATCAGTAAATCAACTTACATTGTTTTCTTAATATCTCTTCTCACAAACCTTGCTTTTGTTTCATGGATGTAATATCTATGTCTGTGCGAGTATTAATCATAGCTTGTAAGTTGTTTTCTGCTTCCTGACATACCTGTTTCACTTTAGTTCTGCTTTGTTTTTATTTTGGCCTCTCTTGTGCTAGTAGTTTTCCTAAAATGTCTGCTGATCCTTTCCCACTTTTTCATATTTATGACTAAAATGCTGAAAATCCTGTGTTGGTCATACAAGTCAACAAGGGGCCTCACTATCCAGTAATTGGATTGCTAAGTAGCCTTTTTCATGTATCATTGGGGGAGAAGCCCCAAAGGTCATTGTCAGTTGTTCTTTTCTCTTGGGCTGAAGAGACTTCCAAGAGGGGAATTGTCCCATCTTCTGAAGATCAATGAGAGGGCCAGGGAACCATATAAATTGGCCTGGAGCTAGAGGGACATGAAGAGTCCAGTGGGCCTGGATCTCATCATTCAGTACGAAGACTTTTACTTGACCCCCCATCTTCAGTGCAGTACTTCCTCAGCTTCTGTGTCTATGTCCTCAAGTTCACCTTCTGGGGAGCTGTGTTAGCCTCTGGGCGCATGTGGTTATCCACTGAAACGTGCTATCTATGAAATGTACAATTGATTTTGAAGACTTAGTATGTAAAAAGAATATAAAATATCTCATCAATAATTTTGATGTAAATATATTATTAACAACAATATATTGTAAAACATATCAATACTGATATGTTGAAGTGATCATCTTTGGACATTTAGAGGCAAATATAAATATATGAATCTCTCCAATATCTTTTTGCTTTATTGTTGTGAGTACTAGAAAATGTGGCATTGCTTATGTGGCTCACCTGTTTTTATTGGCCAGTGCTGCTTCCAGCCAGAAGGGTGGGAGTCTAACCATCCTTTGTAGACGTGTTCAATCAGTTCTGCATTTTTCCAGGCCTACCCCTCACACAGTCACCTCCTCAGAGGAACTGGTGTTTTTGACTCCTGGGCTTCTCTTGGATCCTATCACATGAATAGTTTGGTTTTTTTTTCACTTTGCCCCTCCACACAGGCTTAAGTTTCAGCTTTCTTGGCTTTGTTAAACAGTTGTTTCCATCCGCTTTACATATTCAGAATTTCCTTTTCTTGCCTACTGCGTTTTCTTTTGTGTTCATTGTGTTCTTTTATGTTTATGCCTTGTTAGTCTTCCCATATACTTATTTCATGCATTTAGGAAGGACCAGAGATGAATGTGTATGTTTACATTTAGCTGTCTGGGATTTTTAACCTTGAACTTTGATAATACAGAAATTGGATTAGGTCACTGACTGATTGAACTCTTTCCTGTTTCCCCATTGCAGAAAGTGGCAAGTTTAATCGGCTCTGACCTGTTATAACCACTTGTCTCAGTTTTTGCTGGGGTTATACAGCGTACAAACCCTGCCAGATCCCAGTAGTGTAAATAACACAGGTGTATTTCTTGCTCCTGTTATGTTTTGGTTGTTTGTCTATGACTCTTCTTTATGTGTGACTTTATTTTTTTAGAGCAGTTTTAGGCCTAAAGAAAAATTGAGCAGAAAGTACAGATATTTCCTGTAATCTCCCTTCTTCCACTCTCCACTCTTATCTCCATTATTAACATCTTGGATTGTTGTATCATTGTTACAATTGATGTGTTATTATTAACTAAAGTCCATTGTTTACACTAGAGTTCACTGTTTGTTGTACAGTCTAAGGTTTTGGCAAGTGTATGATGACATGTACCCACTGTAACAGTATCATACAGAATTCTTTCTCTGTACAAAAAATCCCTCCCTCCATCCCCCCAGAACCTGTGACAGCCACTGATCTTCCTGCTGTTTGCCCATGCCTTTTTCATTCATGACTCTAAGCTGAAAGATCAGTGCCCCTGGGAAAGGTGGTCTTGGAGATGAGGGAAGGGAAACAGCTGGCAGAGACAAGCAGTGGCTTTTAGAGCTTCTGCCTGGACCTGGAATAGGTCACATCCCCCTTCTGGGTTGGCATGTCAGTGGGCAGGGATGTATACTCCTCCCACAGGAAGTTACCGTAATGTTGCAGCAAATGCAGATGTGCAGTCCTCTTACAGGAAACAGGGAACGAATAATGGGAGTACAATTACACAGTGTACCATACAGTGTCAGCGCCCACCCTGGCCACTCAGTTCTCCTCTAACAACCACTCTATCCAGCTATAATAAATGTCTGTCTACTCCATCCATACCTGTCCCACTTTTCTATGTCTCTTCACTAAGCAAAGCCCTCACTATTTCAGGACTGAGCTTATTATAGAAAGTTGTTCCCGATGAGAGAGTAACACACTAGTCTATCCTATATGCAGCACTGGATTTTTTTGCTTTTTCAGCAGAATCCTTTAGGCTATTAGCAGAATTAAATATTCATGGAACATTTACTTATATACATTTTTCTTTTTCTTTTAAAATTTTCATTTGACTTTGGCCAAGGTCTCCACAGAAGAAAAATTACCTGCATACGTAAGACTGATCTTATGGTGGTGTCCGATCAAAGATGTGACCACCTACCCCTCCCATTGTTCGTGACTGAAAGGTGCAATACTGACTGTGAACTGAGGTAAAGAGAAATCATGTAAACAGATTAAAGTCAATAATGAGATAAGATGCAAAGCCTCTAGTGCAATGCCTGGCATGGAATGTACATGTGACTAATGTCTACCCTCTGTCCCTGCCATTAAGAAATTTCAGGCTCACAAACTTATGAAACTCAGCAGTCGGTTTGAATTTTTGTTCATAGTATTTGCTGGACACGAGTATAGGGGTCTCAGTATTTTGAGTAGGAAATAGAAACAAAATTATATGTTAAATATATGCAGGTAAACTCTAATCTGAAAATGTGTGGTTTAAAAATCTGAAACAATAAATTCTGTAGCACGATTCTGTAATTCCCATTTAACTGATGAACCAGTAAGCTTTTAAAGTTTGAGGATTAGAGAATTAATAGATAGAAACATCAACTTTATCAGCATTGTGTTCGTTATACATTAAGGAACATGACCTAAATCATAGCAGGGAAGCTTGCACTTCTAACTTGGATTTCTTGTCATTAGGGTTTGTGTGTATGTGATTAGTCTTAAGAGTGAAGCTAAGAACAATAACCCATCTGGCAGGTGATGATTAACATCAAGGATGGTCAGAACCTCCTTCAACCACAAAGGATGGAAATTTTATATATATTTGTGATGATGGTTGAAGATATATAGAGAAGTGCTAGTGGTAGAACTGCCTGTATAAGTTGCATCACTGCACTGTAGTCGAGTGAAGCACAGTGAAATCCTTGAGATACTTGGGGATGGAAATAAACCCCCTGAATTCTGTGCTTTGTTATGCCCATACACTACTATTGCATGATTGGTTTCTGGACTGTAAGTGGGTTAATTTGGCAAAAACTAGCTGATTTTATTTGTGGGAAAAATGTTTTCCCTACAAATGTGTCTAAAAACAGATCACAGGAATAAATAAGGAAATGTGATATGCTCTATAAAACCCTGGTTTACCAACTTTTAAAAGTTTTATGTATGCAGTCAGATTCTTAGCATCCCTGATCATAACTATAGAGGGAGACACTACCTGATTACAAGTCAAATATATTCAGACTGAATTATCCAATTATTGCCACGAGAATATCGAGTAATCTTGATCTAAACCAGCTGCTTTCAAAGGTTTTTTGGGCAAAACTTAGGGTTTCTTGACCATACCTCCAAAGCCACTACCAAAGGCCAGGGTCAGTAGGCACAGCGCAGGCTCCCTGTCTGTAGCTCTCACCAGACCAGCTACATTGTTATGTATTTGGAGAGCAAGTTAGATTTACTTGGGAAAAAAGTGGTATGTCTAACAAAGTGCTTGTACCATCTGAACACACAACCCCTCTGGGCCTCATATGCTCAGCTATAAAATGAAAGTTTGGGATATATTGTGTCTAAGCACTTTTTGTATTTCTAATTCAGTGATCTATAAAATATTTTCAGATGGCTTGTTCATCAACTCCAACACAATTTCGAGAATTGAGTTGTGTGCATGAGTTCCTCTGAATTTGTCTTTACATCCCATTAACTGGCACACCTCAAGCGTAATAACTTCCTTTAGGTGGCACATCATCGGCAAGAGTGAATGTTCATCCCACTGCGGTCAAGGACACAGGTCCTTGGATGTGCACTGCATGAGGTATTCCGTTCACAAAGGGCAGACTGCTCCAGTAGATGACCGCCACTGCAGTGACCAACTCAAACCTCCTACCCGAGAACCCTGCCACGGTGCCTGTGTGTTAGCAAGGTGGCATTATTCCGAATGGTCCCAGGTACAAGTGAAAACTATTACTTAAGAAAAATTACTCTTTTTTCCCCCTAATTATATATTTGTTACTCTAAAGTATGCTTGTGTTAAGTTTATTTTCCTGTTCGTTACCACTTTTTTTTGGTTTGTTTTTTAATAAGTGTTCCAGGAGTTGTGGAGGAGGGGAAAGGTCTCGAGAATCTTACTGTATGAATAACTTCGGCCACCGTCTTGCTGACCGAGAATGCCAAGAGCGTCCCCAAGGGACCAGAGAGAATTGCAATGAATTTTCCTGTCCCAGTTGGGCTACCAGTGAGTGGAGTGAGGTAACATTGAACACACGAGGCTTAGAACTCTCATGATAATGTGTAGGAAAGCTTTGTGGTATAATGCTTTGTGTACCTCAAAACTATTTACATTTTTTAAATGTTTTGTGAATAACTCCATTATCAGGCCAATAAAAATTAGTAAGAGGTGTGTTCTTGAAATATTTATAGTATTTGGCTAACAATGACCTTAACTTGTGTTTAATCTATAATCATTTTCATAAGCAAATCCCACTGTGCACAATAGCCTGAGATACATACAAATTCAAAGGTTATTTTTGTACCTTTGTTTCTAGGACACACAGATGTGGCACTGGGATTCGGGCAGCAGGTTGGGTGGCTCATCTTATCCAGTGAATATCTCTGGGGGAGTGAAGGGTAAATGCCTTTAGGGGTGGTCTTTCAACTGTACCTTCATATGCAAATTAACCATTGTATCATTTTGTAAGGCATTGTACTGATTACCATTGAAAATAATGGTCAGTTGTGTTCTTTCTAACAGTGCCTGGTTACCTGTGGAAAAGGAGCAAAGCAGCGGCAGGTGTGGTGTGAGCTGAATGAGGATCATTTGAGTGATGGCTTCTGTGATCCGAGCACCAAGCCTGAGTCTCTGAGACCCTGTGAGCTCCACACATGTGCTTCTTGGCAAGTAGGACCGTGGGGTTCTGTGAGTATATGATAAGGGTGTTTCTGATTTAATCCATCTTTGCCAAGCAACACCAACACTGTGGTATAGTCATTCTTTTTGTGGATGCAGTTAGATGTGGATTGGTTTACTGGAAAATCACCACTGAACTAGTAAACCCTATCTGCAAAATTTTCTCACTAGTGCTATCAATTTGCTCCAGTAAACATTTCAGCTTTGCTTTTGGATTTACTTTTGTTGATGAAAATGCTACAAGTTTTATGCTTTCATCAGTGTGTTTATAAATATTTTCATGTTCCGTTTCTAAATTATCTTCACTGTGTTTAGAATAGGCATTGTTTAGACGTTTTGCCCCAGGGGAGGCAGGAATCTGCAGGATGAGCAGTTGTCAGGCTGGATGAGGTGGGCAGTTTATTACCCTGTGGGAGGCTGCCACGGTTGATGGGAAACGTTCCCTGGTTGTCGCTCTAACTTTGTCTGCATGCCCTTCCTACTTTCTCTCTGCAATTTACTGAGCTCTGGCTCCTGGCCACTCTGAATGAGTGATGTCCAGAGTGCCCTGTCCTCAACAGCCCCGCTCAGCTCTTTAAACTCATATCCAGGGTTTCTTTCATGGAGTCAGTCCATCTCAGATTTGGACTTCTGCTCTTTCTGCTGCCTTTTCTTTTTCCCAGGATTATTCTTTTCCCAAAAAACCCTGCCATCTCATGAGGTGCCTAGGGTAGGACAGCTTCAGTTTTATTATTTTGCTTCTAGTGATACTTTGGGCTTAATTTGTTCTGGGACCCACCTGTTTCTCTTTGTGGCCAACTAGGGTATCCGTAGACAGAGGTACACCAGGTGGATTTTGAAAAGTATTTAGTTCCCTAAATTCTGTTTACTCTGGCTCCAAGTGTCAGATCGCTACTGATACTTGAGCATGATAATGTTTTAAAGATAGGATAATAACTGTCCATTTTAATTTCAATATTTCATTAGTATTTTCATATATTCGAATCAATATATACAGCAAAAATTTACTAATATTTAGTCTGGAATCTAGTGTAAAAATGGAATAAAAAAACTGAAAGTATATTATTGACTATGTCTTCATTAAACATTTATGCAATTTTGAAATAATAATGGTGTTTGACATCTGCTCACGTTCTTCAGTGCACAGCCACCTGTGGACACGGGTATCAGATGCGTGCTGTTAAATGTGTCCACGAGCTACTTAGCGTGGTGTTGGATGACAGAATGTGCCATGGAGCCAGTCGCCCTAGTGACAGGCAGGTAAAGGACATGTCTCTGTGGATTGTAAAAGAAAGATTTGTGATATAGGAGGATTATCGATATGTTAACATAATTTCCACATGTATTTTCCCACTACCTACCTTAAGAACATGTATGCATGCATGCATGTCAGAGAGCTTTTTTTGTTCACAGTTTTGCCCAGTTTGTAGCTTTGGTAATGATTTTTCCATTTTTTACCTGTCTTTGGATCCCTCCTTAAACATGTATTTCCATCCTTTGAACTGCAGGACAATATCTATTCTGAATATTATGAACTCTTAAAATCTCTCATATTATTTAGGGTAGTGTCTGTTCATTCAGAATGTTTCAGTTCAGTGATATTTCTGAAGACCTATTGCTCTTTTCCTTTTCATCCATCAGACAAATGACCCAAACTTGAAGATTCAGAGACACACTGTGATCTTCAAGCCCTTGACATTACTTTGTACTTTAGCTAGGTGGTGGCAGGGGTCAGGGGGGTGGGTAGGATGGAAGGGAAATACATACATTGTTTGCAACTGTTCTTGAAATAGATATGTAGAAGAATAAATGAAGAATAGGGTATAAAATACATCAGGGTGATTCGTTAATTCCTGTCTTATGAGATCATTTTTTCTTTTGAATAGGACTGCATAGTGACACCTTGCCCAATGATCCCTAACATTGGGGCCACTTCCTTACCAGCTGCTCCCATGGGAAAGCTAGCACAATGGCGATATGGTTCTTGGACTCCAGTAAGTGAATTTATTTAAGAAGCTACAGAGGTTCTATTATTGGAGGCTTCCAGACATCAACAAAACGCTTGCTACAAATTTGTCAAATTAATGTCTGCATTCATTCTCAGGTATCTTGATGGTGTGGAAGGAGTTTGGGGTTTAGAATTAGGCGATGTTAATACCCAAATCCTGATGTGCCATTCAAGAACTCTGTGTCTCTGGACAAGAAACTTAAGTTTTCTCGGTCTATTTTCTAATGTACAAGATGGGGTTACTATATCACAGGTTGTTATAAGAAGCAGATGGGATGAGGCTGATAAAAGACATTTACATGTTTTTCTAAACTGAAAGCTTTGCTTTGACCATATGTCATGTAGATTTCAAGGCTTTGCATATTCTCTGAATAGATTATGGGTTCATATCTACTCTATTAGGTCTTCAAAGATATTTTAAATATCTTAAGACTCACTTACATAACATGCTTTCTATATCTCTAGTTTTGCAAGTAACTAATGGGTATTCTAAGAAGTTGAGTGTTTTTTCTTCATTGTTGTCAATATTTGAGTCGTGAAATTTATGGTCTAAACTGAGTGGGGTCTTCACTGCTCTGCCATTGACTCAGAAGCAGTGCCAGGTAATGCCATTTACAATTTGATTTTTCAAAAAACGTCATGTTTTAGAAAATTGAGCAACAGCTGTGTGTAAGGGAATTAGGAGCGGTACTATATAACACCTTGGTATAAATCCATATTTTTAAGTGCTCTGCGTCTTGTGGAAGAGGTAATCAAGCCCGCTACGTGAGCTGTCGCGATGTTCACGATGGAAGAGCAGATGAATCATATTGCGCACATTCGCCGAGACCTGCTGAAATCTCTGTCTGTTTTAGCCCTTGTGGGGAGTGGCAAACAGGGAGTTGGTCACCTGTAAGTATTTTTATGAGAGGAAAAAATAAAGTGAAACATCTAAATATAATTCAGTACAAATTGGCAGGTACAAAAGAGTCACAGGGGGTGTAAAGTACAACATAGGAAATTCAGTCAATAGGGTAGTAGCTCCTTCTCCTACCCTTTGCAACAACATGGATGGAACTGGAAAGCATTATGCTGAGTGAGATAGGCCAGGGGTTGAAAGACAAATACCATATGATCTCACCTTTAACAGGAAGCTAAACAACAAAACAAAGCAAGCAAAGAGAGAAGAAAACAAAGACACTGAAATAGAGAACAAGGGGACAGCGACCAGAGGGGAGAGGGAAGGGAAGTTAAGGGGAAAAGGGGGGAGGGATTTGGAGGAACAAATAGGAAGGACACAGGGATGAGAACTAAGGGGGGTGGAAATGGGAGGGAGGTGGGGAGCACGGGGCGGGGGAGGCTGGGATGGGAGAAATAGATAAAAAAACTGTACTTGAAAAATAACTAAATAAAATTTTTTATAAAAGCTAAAAGAAAAAAAATATTGTAATACGATCCACGGTAGCAGGTAGGTTCTAGGGTAGTTGAGGGGTATCACTTCGTAAGTTATACAGATATCTGACCACTATGCTGTACTTCTCAAGATAATACTGAATGTTAATTATAATAGAAAAAGGAGAAAGTAAAAATAGTTGATATTTAGTGATGTTGTAGTTTATTACATTACAAATGTCATCTAAATTTGTGATCAGTGTTCAGCTTCCTGTGGCCCTGGAAAAGCAAATCGACAAGTTTTATGCATCAGGTACCACCAGCCAATTAATGAGAACTACTGTGACCCTGAAGTCCGCCCTTCAGCCGAACAAGAATGTGAAGCGCCAGCCTGCCCGCCTGTGTACAGCCACTTTCCGAGCCTCTCTGAGCAGCCAAACCATTTTCCAGGCAGGAATTTTCCATTAACTCACAAACCCGAAGACGGTGAAAAGTGGGGGGCGCACCCATCCATCAGAGGAAACCAGTGGAGAACAGGCCCATGGGGATCAGTAAGCCCTCTTTATTCCCTTTCAGTAATTCTGTAATTTTGTTATATTTTAATGGATATGTATGTCATGACATCAAATGCTTTCAATGCCAGATTTATCTGGAGATCAATAGTTTGAATCTTACAGGGATTAAGCAAGTTTTGATACAGGTAACAAGTCCCTAGAGTTCATATTGAATTATACACTATTGTGACATTATGCTTACAGAAGAATGCCCTTAAAAACAACCAGGTTCTAGTCTATTATAATAAAAGCAAAAGAAAAAAATTTTAAGACTGCAAAGATTTATGAAAAAATCAAACCTAGAAAGTGATAGCAATGCAGCAAGCTGGTGTAAATCATGCTAAACTACAGAGGATACAATTTATTTCATGTTTTACATGATGCTAATGACACAAAATAAAACCTCAGGTATAAAAGTTAAGTAACAGCACTATTCATTGCTTCATGTTGAGACCTTCAAACTTTCATTCCTTGTACTCAATACTTAGGACAAAGGTGAATTGCCTGTTGCAAGCTTTAAAACATCACCTTGTCATCAACAGATTCTAATAAGCCCCTAGTAAAACTCAAGTGTTGTGACATATTTTCTGATGCAAATTATGTTTGCAGTGAGGGGCATTTTAATGTGGGGAGATTTGAGTCAAATACTAATGTTTCTCACCCTGTGACTTCACAATGTGAAACTGTGGTCTGTGTGTTTTGTGTTTTCAGTGTTCCAGCAGTTGTGCGGGAGGTGTCCAGCGTCGAGTTGTGGTCTGCCAGGATGAAGATGGACAAAATGCTCATTACTGTGATGCAGCCACCAAACCCCCAGAGTCAAAGCACTGTGACTCAGGACCTTGTCCACGGTGGGCCTTTGGAAGCTGGGGAGAAGTAAGTTATAGCATTTCTCAAACTGGTGGAGATTGGCATTCCTGAGGACCGAAAGTTGAGCACTCCCTACTGTTAACTGATGGATAACCTTACTTCACTATACTGTCCAGAAAGATTTGGTTTTGTCCTCCAGTGAGTAAAACTGTGTTCTTTTAATAGATGTTCTCTCATGGCAAATATCACTCACTTAGGGCAGGAAATATGTACTCTAGATTTTTTAACAAATCTAATAAGGCTAGCCAATATGTCTGTGAACCTAATACCTTTCTAATATTGATGGTTTAACTTCTTAGAAAATTGGATTGATATAGAGATAGAAAATTAGATTGACATATTGCCTATGTTTATATCTTACTACTGAACCATTCATTTGATGAATCCCTTAAACAGGTAGTTGATGATTATTGAGTACTTTCTTTAGATCCGAGCATAACTGTAGTTATTTTGGATATGAAGGTAATTTTTTAAATGGTTATAATGAATACTAATCTCACCTACAGTATAGATGAGGAAAAAATAAGAAAGACATACTGGTGTTGGGTGAATAAAATAAACCATCTAACTAAATTAGTCAAATATTTTTGCTTAATTATTTTTAGTACATATATTTTCTTCATAAGAAATTTAGAAATATTTTTCTAAAGATACACTTCTTACCAGGTGTTAATAAATATGAAGTAACATTTTTACTTCTGAATTTAGACATACTTATTGTGAACATTCACATAATATGAAAAATTATGTAGAGATAAGAACTTTTAACATATTGAAACATTTCCTGCCAGACATGTTCTGTGTTGGTCTAGAAACAGGGTCATACACTCATGCTACTTTCTTATCTGTTGCTTTAAGGTAATATATACTGAACATCTTTCTATGTTTATAAATTTAGATCTGCTTTATTAGCCTTCATGGCTACAGAAAAATCTATTGCTAGGATACCATCCATATTGTAGTTAATACTTATTATGTAAGTCAGGTTTCTTTTTGGCCTAACCTGCCAGGCCTTTAACTTACCAAGAGTCTATATTATAGACATGTGGATATTTTATTGAAATATCTTATGGTACTAATTCTCAAAATTTTATCTATTTTTTAAATTACTTTTTTTCCCCCAGGAAGAAATGTTGACAAAGGATAAACTTCAAACTGTAGCATTACTAATTATGTGTTAAACATTGAATGAAGTACTCTAATAGTCTCTTTAAAGCCACCTAGTTTCGGATTTTCTTCTCATTTCTAGTGTACACAAACGTGTGGAGGAGGAATGAAATCGAGGTTCGTGGTGTGTCAGTTTCCCGATGGGCAGCCGTCACAGGAGCGGAACTGTGCCAGCTTGGAGAAGCCCCCCAGCGTGGCGCAGTGCCACCTGCACGCCTGCCCGGATGGTGCGGCGTGGCAGCGGGGACCGTGGAGATCGGTACGATAGTGTTCCTGTTCTGATCATTTTTGTTTTGTCCTGTTTTACTGTGTCCCTGTTACTTCAGTTTCCTCTTTTTTTTAATAAGTTGTGGTGCTCACACTATGTTTTAAGGAGATTGTTGGTCATCTTGGCTTGTGTTGGAAATTTGGAAGAACAATCTATTCAATTTCAAGTACTGTAATATATATAATAGTTTTATATGTATTTATTTTTTACAAATGATTTTTGAATCATGGTACTATTCTAGTGGAAATATTTTACTCTGGGACGTTTTTGGCTTGCCCTATAATGAATCAGAAATGTTTGCTATTTACATTTGTATCTAATGTGAATATTGTGCTTGTAACAATGACAGATTAAGGCTGTGTCTTGTTTGAGTGTATAACTCTATGTGGCTTCCTTTGTCTGTCAATGTCCAGTAACTGGTCCAAAAGCAAATAACATTCTTTAAAAGCTTTCTTTTTATCATTGTTAAACTTAGTATTTTGTTTGGAAATATTAAAATATTATATAAAAGTAAGGATAGAGAAATTTACATACATAAAGTAAATTAATTGTTTACAGTTTTACATACATCATGAAAAAGTATGATTTATATAGTAATTTATATGAATATTGGTTTCTTCCACTGTGTGGAGTTACTATGTTTTGGGGATGTTTAAATTTTTTTATTTTTTGGAGCCATAGACAAAATTCATAAATATTGTTTGTGAATGGTTTATTTTTTTTTAGTATTTTTCAAGTACCCAGGCTTTGAATATTAATTTATATATATTGAAATTAGCATGTTGGACACTTTTGATATTTTAAATCAAGAATAACCAAGTATACTTTTTTCAGGTAAAAGCTGATTTGAGTCTATAATCTATTTATAATTACATTTATAAACCTAAACAGGTCTTCATTTAGAAAATAATTGTAACTCTGGTTTTATAGCCAACTATGATCTGCACACTTGTTTTTCTTTATAAAAGTCAAAGCTTTACAATGATATGTAAACCCAAGTTCCCACTTAAGCTTTTTGAAAAGTAGATCAAGTTATTATTCAGGCAAAAATTCATCTTTATAGTCAAAGTACGACTGATATGAACCAACAGAACATTTTAACTTTATAGGAGGATCTTTTAAATTGCTGCATCAGAAAACCATCATTTTGTGGGAATTAAAAAGACACACTTTGCCATAGAAAGCATCACATGTTTACTTCGTAAAACATTTACTGACCACCTACTATGCCCCAGGCATTGTGCTACAGAGGCAGTACAGACACCCAGCTCCTGTGGAGCTGACAGGCTAGTTGAAGTGGTTTGAAACACTAGAGCAACTCACCACAAAAAGGTGTTTTTTTTTGTTGTTACCCATCTTAGATTGGAAATTCACTTTCTCTTTACTATATCCCCCTGTTCTCTTTTCCTTCATTGATGGTTTTAGCTTGCAAACCTAGGTCTGAATAAGGCCATGGATTACCTTCTTGGAATTTTGCCCCAATTAGGAGAGCAGAGTCAGAACCACTCATTAGAGATTTAACTGTAATGGCATTTGTTTCTGAGCACAAAGGTTTTACTTTCTGTAAAACTCACTCATGACTTTATTAATTCTCAAAGCATTAAATATTTACTAAGTGTCTCCTGCATTGTGCTAGGTATTGAAATACCTAAAATTAAGTGTCTTTGAGTCAGATTTTTTTTATTTAAGGAACCAGCAGACTATGGCCAGCATATTGAATCTGGCCCACTGCCTATTTTTGTAAATAAGTTTCATTGGAACACAGTCATGCACATTGTCATGTATTATCTAAGGCTGCTTTGGCAATATAAAGCAGAGTTGATTAGTTGCAATAGAGACTGAATGGCCCTTAAAGCTGAAATATTTACTCTTTCGCCCTTTCTGGGAAAAGTTTGCTCACTTCTGTTTTATCTAACAAACTTTATAATGCTTTTTAAATTTAACATAAAATGTAATTATAGCATATTAGAATTAAAAAGTGTTCATTTGTGGTCAGTTTTAAATTTTTAACCCTTTGTTTAATATTTTAAAGCAATTTAAAGTTTATCAAACTTCCTATATATTCACTAGGGTATTCACACAATGTTTTTCCAGCTTTATTGAGATGTAATTGACCTACAACATTTACACAAGTTTGAGGTGAATGGCATCCAACTACATGTACATTGTGTTGGAGTATATCTGATACCATATTCCAGTATATTTGTGTAATGCCAGTTTTTCTATGTAAATGATGCCTCACTGAAAAACCTTGAATGATCGGTCAGCTCCTGTGCGTAGATGACTTTTTCAACTTCATTAGAAAAATGAACAAGAAAAACAGTAATCATCACAAATTACAAAATAGTACAACAGAAGTATGTAATTCACTTACTACACGTCTGTTCCAAAAGGAGTTCATTGAATAATTCAGTCTTTGCACTAGTGAAGAACTATCTTCATTTTTCTGATAAGTTGAAGGTGAATTTTAAAAATCACAAATGTTTATATCAGAATTTTTACAAACTTATTTATTTACCTTTTATATGTATAAAGTACATATATATCATTAGAGTTCCTGGATTTCTTATATGAAGAATTTTACTCCTTAAATTAGCCTTTTACATTAAAAGGGTTTAAGGGATCTGAAGTTTTGTAAAGGCCAGATATACTCCTTTACCTCTGTCAGTGTTGCTACATATCAGCCAAACTTCAGAATACCTCTTATTAACATATCAGGTAAATATTCTTTCACAGATCACTTTCATTTCAACAGGTGCTGTACACTAGATTAGAAAATGATGGATGTGTGTATATGTATGTATATACATGTACATGTATATGAATGACATGAAATTTCAGAAATGCTCTTTTCATTTTAAAGCAAAATTAAAATATGAAGTGCTAAATCATTAAAATGTAACTAAGGAGAAAGTTGTACATTTAAATTTTCATGTTGCAGAAAATCTTGTAATAATTTATAAGCATGATTAAAGGAATAAATAAATCTTAACCCACGTCTGTTAATTTGATGACAATTTTTTGTTATTAGTCAATGTAAAATGATTGTATTTTAACCCTTGCTTATTAATGACATGTGTTGTGGCTTCGTGCTTTGCATAATTCCTGTGTATATGTTGTATTTTTACCCCTTGGATTAATACGTGAAATGTTTTAAGTCACCAAACAGATCTTGTATTGTAATGAATGCCTATTTCCTTTTGGTGATATATTTTTCTTAAATAAGAGCTCTCTTTTCTCTTAATTAAACATTTAATTGTTGGATAGTACATGTTTTTATAATGTTAGTATATGTATAAGCTGCTGCTATTTTTCAGATAATTCTGATAGAAACTAATGTTGGTACTAAAAATATATGATTTTTTGTTTAGCTATCAATTTTAAAGTACTAGAAATTTATAGTTTCTTCTTAAATATTATAAACAATAAAAATTTATATTAAAATAAAGTTATTTAGTATGTTAAAAATAGATGTGCTGACGAACAAGATAGTCTTTAAAAGGTAAGTAAAGTTTTATTTTTCTCTTCTTTTACATATTTATAGTAAAGGATATTACACGTAACAAATGGTTCCAAAACATATTCTTTAAATAAATTTGTATTAATCTCTATTTTCTCACTAAGTCTAATTTAAATGAGTTACTTTCCCACATTGTTTGTATTCTCTGCATATAATGAAATAATATTTGGTAAGAAAAATAATGGTATTTCAGTGTCTGGGATTGATGATGATCCAACAGAAGAAATGACAGTATTTTTTTCTGGTAAAGATTTGTTTTGCACAAAAATGAGAAAATTATTTTTAAAAATGAAAGCTTGATACTGAACCCTCTTGATTCTAGCACCTTCTCCCCAAATGTCTCTTTTTAAAAGAATAGACTTCTGCAGTACTTTGTAAAATATATATCTATACATTAAATCTCCATACTATACAAAATCTAGTGTATATACTAAATACACACATACAGACTGCAACAGAAGCACTTCGAGGAATGAGTGTGCGGGTGCATCAAGCACCCAGTAAATCTGCAGTTTGTTGATTTTAGCAGCTTTGTGTAACAGAAGAACATTAAGGGGCAGAGAAGAGGGTTAGGCTGCTCCCTCCACTCGAGGTGGAATGCACTCAGAAGAAACCTGTCAGTCCTCCACTGCTCCTCAGGCCAGCAGCAGACAGGGGAGCCATGGAACATGCGGGGAGATGGTTCCAAGAAACTGTCAATCCTTTGTAAAGTGGACTGTTCAGTAACATGTTAAGTAATTATTTTCTTAAATTTGGAAAAGACACATAAGCATAATCATAGGTTGGACACCTGTTTTATTCCAAATTTATTATAGAAATCTTCAATGACTAGTGTTCTTTTTTTAAAATTATTTTTAGAGAGGGGAAAGAAGGGAGAAAAAGAGGGAGAGAGACTCAATGTATGGTTGCCTCTTGCATGCCCCCTACTGGGGACCCGGCCCACAACCCAGGCATGTGCCCTGACCAGGAATAAAACTGGTGACCCATTGGTTCACAGGCCAGCACTCAGTCCACTGAACCACACCAGCCAGGGCTAATGATTAATAAGTATTTCCATGTGTTTATTACCATATCCTTCTGTTACATTCATTGATGCTCCTTCACATTATTAACATCTACATATTGGGGATTGTGCTAGTCACTAGAGAGAAACCAAGCACAACTGTGTACAAGGAGTTCGCATTCAGCAGCGCATGTCAGTAAAGAGGTGGTCAGAATGCAGTGTGGCATTCCGCTGTCATTTCAGTACCAGCCATGTGATTTATAATATTGAAGACTCATAATATTGAGGGCTTAATAGATTACAATGATCTAAGAATTAGTAAGGAGGACTGTACTTGACAACACAATAATTCTGCCAATGAATCCTTCTAGAAGCTTGAACTAGTAGGATATATTCTATTGTAACCTGGCAAGAGATGAGTGGCATCCCAAGTCCCTGTGCTACCAGAACAGATTGGCCTCTGCCTGT